TCCACACCTAGAGTACTGTTTCAGTGTGCTGATGTTGTCATTACGAAGTGACCTACAAACTGGGAGATGAGCAACTCTACTGCAAAGTAACCGGAACTCAAATACAAGAATAAAGCTCCATGAGAGCTGAGAATCCCCTGAAATTCACACATACCAAGAATAACATTTCTACATTTTTACCTGGAGCCAGAATATTTTGTTGGTCTATCCTGACATGACCATATGCTGAAAAGGTTCAATGGTACTGACCAGAAATAAATATTCAATCTGTTCAAATATTCATCTTGAGTGAGTGGTTGAATGGGGTTTAATGCCGCTTTGAACAGTATTCCAGTTATATCCCGATGTGTCAGCTTTATGTGGGAGGAAAGCCCAGAGTGATGCAGGTCTGAGACGTTTACCTCTTTGGTGACATCCATGAACGTTGCTGACAAAACCTAGAAACATTATCAGGATGGATGGGAATCGAACCCACGATCATAGGTCTCTGGTGTGCCCAAGGGACGCAACTCTGCACAGCCAATTGCATTGTCTTAGTCTACTGTGCCCCCCGTGCCCCCCGTGCCCCCAATATTCACACTGACAACTTAAGAAAACATGTCTTATTAAATATCAACGGTAATGTCAAAGAGGAACGAGCTCTTGTTCACAAATATCAATCTTAATGTTCAGGGAATATTACCTCAGTACCTGCCTGGTTAGCAGTGGGGTAAGCAGGTAACACCCAACTAAACAACTACCACACTTGATGGTAAACTGTACCCCTGTGTGATGAGTTTTTGGGCGCTTAAGAAACATTTGTAGTTTTCTCTCTAATCACATGAACAACTATAAAACATCTTATTCACTTTTAAAAGACAACTTCCTCTCAAAAACAAGCCATCATTTGAGTATTAACAATGTCTGTGTGTTTCTACTCCCCCAGTTACAGCGCCAGTGATTGCGATAAACATTGCCGTCCAAAAATGTATGACGGACGAAAACCTATGATCCAACGATACATACATGACAGTGAGCAGTCCCCTATTGTATTTACACATATGGATGGTACTTGAAAGATGGTTTGTGACATTAGGTGTACAATAGTGGACACTATTCTGGTTGTATGTGAAACTTGAAGCAGACATGAACCAGCTCCAAAGTGAACAAGGGCTGAAATCTTTAACAAGAGTGAATTGGTTCTGATGTCACTCGGAACATGATTTCATGGCCACTAGTCAGCTATGTGTTGGAGGGAAATGGAGCAGGTTGTCAGAGAAACCCTGGACTGACAGAACAATGATCACAAATGGGGAAGTTGTGTGATTATAACCCATGGTCAGCAGATCCTGGCATGGCCATGAGACACAACTGTGCCTGCGTCTTTGGAACTGGACATGGGACCCATTCCACAAAGCGATCTTAGCGCAAAGGTGATCATAACTTCCATGCTTCAACATTGGCTTATGAAAGTCGTAGTACTGAGATTGCTTTGTGGAACATGGGCCATGACCTATGGTGACAATGCTCAGAATAGCTCTTGAACAAGAATCTCTGGGTGTTCTACAAACAACTTTCATTATCTCAGCTTACATTAAAATACCAGCTTCTGATTGGTTAAAATCGGGCAATTGTTTTCCATGTAGCCCGCTTAGTAATCAATCGGAACACACCTTAGGTAACTTGTTTATCTCACATAAGTATCGTTGAGCTCACATGAACCAGTGTTTGACTGAATGCATAGGGTAAAGGGAAGTAACTGAGTTCGTTTTCGTCATAATGGCTGAATTAAAGCTTTTATTCGTGAAACTTGAGTGAGTGAGTTGGGTTTTACGCCGCTTTTAACAGTATTCCAGTTATATCGCCGCGTGACAGCTTAATGTGGGAGGAAAGCCCGAAGTGATGCAGGTCTCAGACGTTTACCACTTAGGTATGGTGCTGACAAACCTAGAAACATAATCGTGAAACTTGAGACATATATTCCGAGTCTGTAGGAATGAATGTTGGTGAATGTCGTTGCCTACCGATCCCTTGGGTCATATGGTGAGATGTATCCTGTGTGTGTACATCACTGGCTGATGGGTACAGTAACACACAGCCTTCCACTGTGGGTGTTCTTTAATTCGTACCATACATATTAATTACCTCTATTTCAATAACAGTTGTCTGTTGACTCCTATTGTGTATGAAGTCAAGGAAAAGCACTCTCTACAAACAAACATCCCAAGTTTCCTGTTTCCAATCAGAGATCCTCTAACATCACCAGATTGGGCAGTCCACCTGAGTCTTGTTCTGGTGTTGCCTTTCTTTTCTTACATTAGCGAACAGCAAGGGCATCGCATTATTTTTTGGATCAGGAAATTAAGTCATACCTTCTCTGTACATGCAATGTCCACCATCTAATCACATTTGGATTTTGAGTGCACTTCTCAAACAAAAAAGATTTTAAACGATGTGATTTTATATTTCAATGCTTAATGTATACATGTAATGGTATCACTTACAGTAGATTAATCATAGGTAAGAGTGAACAAACACTCCAATAATCTGTATCAATGAGAAAAATATACATGTACAAAAATATATGGTATAATCTTGCAAGGTAACGACAAATTAAACACACCATTGACTGGTTAAAAGAGCAATACACTACCAAGCAATTCTGGTGGGATTTGCATAGACACTTACACCTACAATATTCCAACATGTATCAGAGAAATGCGTAGACGGGCCATTCTTGTTCAGGTGAATACACACTAAGCGACAATGTTTTCCCTGGGCAATCCTTACTTTAAAAAAAGGCTTACAAACACTTAAATAATGAAACTTGGAAAAACAGAAAAGCACTTGAAAAAAATATACCCCCAAATGCAAAGATCTAATTTATCCCCCAAATTGTAAGACTAAAACGAGATTAAAAAACACACAGCACACATGGCAACTTAATCATGTAACTCCTTGAGAGAAGACAAGAGGAATCTGAAATGGTGTTTATTTTTTACCCTTAATTTCATCAACTATCAGTGTCACTACTGTATCGGGATACGACAGGAGTCGTGACAACAAAGGGTGAGGCAATGCATCTTCCCGAGGCAAGAGAGTTAACTGACTTTAAAAGTCCAGTTTCCACCCTTGCCGAACTAGGCTGGAATTCCTGGGCTCAATCATAGCACCACCAGTGGCTGTTACGAGTCATGTCCCTTCTATGCCTCTCCTATGGACCAATCACATTCCACCTCTCGTTTTGCTTGCATTTGCTTCAAACAAAATGGCGGCGCCCAGTAAAGACGATCTGATCGACAATCAAGATCTATATTGAGAGAAAACTGGTCTTACATCGTGAAGTGCATCAAATCACGTGAGCACCTTGATTAAAAACTTGAAAAGATTTGGAAAATATCTGTTGACGAGTTGGCAGTGCACATGCTGTGCAAATCCTGCAATCGACCGAACTCTGCATGAAAGTTTAAGAACCTTATTTCGAATTCGGTGCGCGATTTTGATTGGACCATTCATAGACTTGTTAGTCCAGCGAAAATGTAACTCCTTAATACCAGCCTAGTTCGGTAAGGGTGGAAACTGGACTTTTATAGCAAGTTAACTCTCTTGCCTAGGGAAGATGGAGGCAGTGCTGAATACAATTGTTCTCACAACTGTTCCCTTTTATCCCCATAAAGAACTGCCCTGAGTCCTCTGTAGGTCCTACAGCACGGCCAAATACACGAGTTTCACAACTGCATATCTGTGTATATTGTGAACAGTCCGTGCAAATGGAACTTTTCAATTTCACCCAAACCAATGGCGTCTGTGTATATATCTAAGTACCTGTAGCAAATGTGGCACTGTTGTATAACATGCATTTGTAGGAGTACATTATTGGGTTATAATTGTACTACATGACCCAAATGACAAACACGCCAATCAGATCCTTCAACTGCGCTGTCGTGATACTGACTGCTGCCCACATTCCAATTGTATTGACACACTTAATTAATACTCCTCTTCTTGATAAGTTGAGTTTGCAGGTAAGAAAGACTACTAGAAGGAATACCAATGTGACTGCAGGCGTTTGGTCCATTTCATGGCTGTTTCAGAATTTTGCTGATGTCAGTTTGGGAGCTCCGTCTGAGACGGGTGTCAGACAAGAGATGAGAAAATCAAACAAAGCTGATTCAAACCATGTTCATTTGTGAAGGTGGCTTGAATCATGTACCACCATTAGAACTGACAAATACTGGCAGACTGATGGCAAAACTTCTCTGATGTCACTGTACAGAGCCCATTCCACAAAGTGATCTTAGTGCTAAGATGATCATAGCCCCATTCTTTAACATAGGCTTACAATTGTCGTAGTGCTTAGATGATAATACCTCCTATACTTTAAAATAGGCTTACAGTAGTAGTAGTGCTAAGATGATCATAGCCCCATACTTTAACATAGGCTTACAATAGTTGTAGTGCTTAGATGATCATAACTCCCATACTTTAAAATAGGCTTACAATAGTCGTAGTGCTAAGATGATCATAGCCGCCATACTTTAAAATAGGCTTACAATAGTCGTAGTGCTAAGATGATCATAGCCCATACTTTAACATAGGCTTACAATAGTTGTAGTGCTAAGATTGCTTTGTGGAGTCTGGGCCTTGTTCCACAACACAATCTTAACGCTAAGGTGATCGTAGCTCCTATACTTTAACATAGGCTTACGATGGTCGTAGTGCAAAGATCGCTTCATGTAACGGGGCCCAGTGCTAAGATGGCTTTGTGGAATCGGGACCTTGTTCCACATCGTTATCTTAACGCTGAGGTGATCGTAGCTCCTATACTTTAACATAGGCTTACGATGGTCGTAGTGCTAAGATCGCTTCGTGTAACGGGGCCCTGGGAATCAATCTCACTGTGATACCCTTGACAAAGTAAAGCTTTCAAATGAACTGGAATTTATATATCTAAGTCAAAGACAATGTAAATGCTGCAGATAATATCTCACGTTTTGACTAATAAAGATTGAATATTAAAGCATTGTAGATCAATTTAATGACATACATATTATTTGTGCCTGTTTCAACAAGCATACATCAGCAAGTCCTGCGTCATTAACACACTAGTTTCTCAACCCTACAGTCAGCCCAACTCAAACAGACCACTCTGCATCGACTTTATAAGCGATGAGGCGGTCGCTCAGCGGCCATTCCTTGCAACAAACAGGCTAACTGTTTTACTGCAAATTCATATTCAAATCTATCAGAAAATATTTAAGAAAGAAATACATTCTCCAGTTACGGGTTGACAGTGGAGATAATTGTGCACCATTTACATAAAGATACTCATATATACACAGCGGAGTCTAAAAAACCCAGCTGACTTACCCCTAATGTACATCGTGTCAAGCTAAAATAGGTGTTTCTGATCGATCAAAGGGTACGGGTAAGACGGAATATTTACATGCAATAGCAGGACAATTTACATAATGGACCCTTAATAGTCAGCATCTTGTTGATGAACAACAATCACTTGGTTCTCTCCTTTAAGTCTCATCAGGAACAGAATGCATACACAGAAAATACGAATTTATCTTCAATAGTAACATTTGCACTATGAGAAAATTTAATATCATGAAATGATTTCACAAAAGTGTTAATTTAAATAAAATTTATCAATATTTTGGGAGATTATCAATACTTTATTATTTTAATCTCAAACCCAACTGCCATGTGTTTATTTTCTCGAGTACGAAACTAAATGAGTCGTGACATAAAATCTGAAAATTCCTATCGCAATCAAAACATCATTAAATACATACTTCATAGGGAAGTTAGGAAATACACTGGTGCCTATAGTTGGTTCATACTTAAGGCCGAACAAGCACTCTTAATATAAAACAATACCAAAGTCCTGCTTCATAACTGATAAGGCAAGATTGGAGCTGAGGGTTCTCATATGATAGCAAATGAAATCTCCTGAAAAAACCGAGATGCTTCTAGCTGCCTGTTTGCAAACCATCATTTGAGTTGGCACAGTTGATTGCCGGCTAAAATCTCAGCTCTTCATGTCAAACTTAAACAGTATGCATTATTCTTATAAAGTAAAAATCGGAAAGGGTAAGAGTAATTTGATTTGTTTTGTTTTTCAGCTGGCCATTTATATCAGTGACTCTTATTATTTTCACAGATGAATGAAACAGTACAAAATCACTTGGGCTGCAAAATGTGACAAATCAACTAACAACTACTGATATGAATCAAGGTCTATATTCAACATGAAACAATTAGGAATTGGTTTTGAGGTTTCAATGAATGACTGGTCTTCGACCACATTAAAGCCATATACATGTGGAATAGAATAGCTTATTGTTTCTAAATGTACAGGTTTTGGTTATGAATGACAACATATATCCTGAATGAAGACTTTATACACAAAGCCATGACCCTGTGGAAACGTGGTGTCCCCTGTAAAAAAGCCCTATCTTCTGCAGCTGATGCATGTGTTGTCAAATGATTCTTGTACTCTTTAAAATCACAGACATACAAGACCCAGATACAAGTATCCTAGTGCCTACACTATCCTAGCTTCCAAACAAAACATGTACATACATTCATCGCACTGCCAAAATTGCTCTGCAGAATTGATGCAGGACCTCACAGAAACGAGCAGCTCCTCTCCTCGATAACATGGTCAAAACAAAATGTATTGGTCCGACCAACAGACTATTCATTATCAGTTTTCAATGCTTTTATTTTTTGTGGGTACCTCATATAGAATTTTGCATTTACCGTTTTCACTGTAATAAGCGCTCTGGGTACTTAGAGGGTACTTAGAAAGTTGACAAAGGGGGCACTTGTTAAAACCACAAGTCAAATTTGTTTTGAGAAATTGGGCAGTAGTGACCAAACTTAGTTAAAATGTCAGTGAAACAAATCATGTTAAAAACATAATAGTTACCCATGGGTTTTGTTATGGATTTTAATCGTGAAAAATTACATCAGTAGGTGATTAAAAAACCCATAATCTGGTGTGTCCTTATCAATATTGTAAATTTAAAATCTGACAGTGGCATTTCTCTTTCATTGTTATAGTAAAAATCTTAGATTTGCCGCATAAAATGCCTTGTCATTCTGATATTTTTCTTCGTCTGAATTTTTAATTTTTACGGTTGGTGGTTCTGTAAAGCAAACAAAGTGAAAGTCCTTAACTTTAAAGGGCAAGTAGAGTGAAGAAAATGAATGCAATTATTTTGCGAATATCAATTGTCCTGTATACATTAAGTCAATTTCAAAGGGAATAAAAATTCATAACATTAGTAGAAAGTACTTAAGTGTCCAACTGAAAGTTCTGAAATCACACACTCCGCGATCAGCTTCTTGAAGAACCATATTTGGGGGCGTGGCCTAAAGGTACCCGTGCAGCAGTGTGTGACAAAGGCTTTCCTTGACTGATCTGTGATTCTTAGCAGCTATACAAATACTGTTTCTGCTATTTCAGTTAATCCTACAAAAATAACAACATTGTTTACATTGAACTGTTGAGTGTGGGAAACATCACCTCTGACCTTGATATTGTGAATCAATCAAATAACAATCAACAATCTGTAACCAGCGTTTTATTACTTCTCACTTGTCCAGCAGCTGGCCAGTGGATAATCCCCATCGTGTTCGCTGATGCTAGGGGAGGGGTGTTCGGGGGTGGCGTTATATCAAACACTGTACTGGACTGGCAGATGCTAAATAACGATTTGCGAAGCAAAAATACACAATAGATACGTTTCTCCTTCACATCTCAAATTTACATAATATTCACAGTCCAGCGAACAGCATTGTGTGATCGTTAACTGGTTTCTGGTTGGCGAGAAGTTGTCTCTTCTCCACCTGAAGTCTCGAAACGTCTTTTTGGCGGCATCAAACCAACTGGATTGTGTTCGCAGTACTAGTGAGTGAGTGAGTGAGTGAGTGAGTGAGTATGGTTTTACGCTGCTTTTAGCAATATTCCAGCAATATCACGGTGGGAGCCACCAGAAATGGGCTTCACACATTGTACCCATGTCGGGAATCGAAGCCGGGTCTTTGGCGTGACGAGTGAACGCTTTAACCATCAGGCTACCCGACCGCCCGTTCGCAGTATTAACCTGCTCAACCTGCAGTATCTCAATTACTTGCACATTTGCCACAGTGGGATCCTGTTTCTTATCTGTAATTTCTTTTATAGAATTTTCACTCAGTACAGTGTATGTAGTTCACCAATTAGTTGTTTCCTTATGTTTTGTGAGATATTCACCAATTCATTGTGTCAAATGTGAGATGCCCCCCTCAGTGCCCTCCTGTCTTACCAATTACGGATGAATTTGTACTTATAACAATAGGTGCTGGACAAGCAGGAAGACTCCCATCAACCATGCAGATTGGGCACTGGTCCGACACTGCACAGCGCTTCAAACACCGCTGTTTAACCTCCACCAAGAGGAATCCCCGCAGAGGCAGAATTTTTCATTTTGGAGACGATTTCGCCTGTCGTTTTTTATCATCTGTTTTACTCTATATTTCCATTTTTCAAAATAAATTTTGGTCAAGAATGAGTAATTTAAGTATGCGTAACGTATTAAACGTTAAGTAACTTATTAAAATCTGAAAAGTTGGTATGTCGACTGTACTTGCCCTTTAACTGTGAACACTATCTAGCATACAAAATACTGGTGAAGTGGACACGTATATTTTGACAGTCCTCTAGGGACCATTGTTTGCCAAACCTCTGGATCTTCCAGTTACAGGAATGGGTCGTCAGTGTAGCACAAGTAACTACTGAATCATACTGAATCATACTGAATCATACTGAATAATAAATAGTCTCCACCAATCAGTATCTGCCAATCAAAGAGACGAAAAGCAACCTCCCACAGTGTCTCATTTTGACCAGTGGACACTGAGCACAACACCGGTCCTTATCATGCAAACATGGTTTGGTATTTTATTCAAGCGCTACTTTACTTCTTCAGCAAAATATATTGGAGATAAATAAGTAAAAAGCAACATCCTTTGGATGTAGATGAGACAAAATGACTAATCAAATTATTGTATATTGCTGATGTTGAATAAGCAATGTAGAAGATGACGATGTTGAAGTAGTTCATCTTGATGATGTTGGAGATGTTGGAGATGGTGCTGAAGGTTGATGATGACTAGGCGGGGCATAATGTCAACGTTTCCGCCGACAGACACGTTTGTGTTCTTTGTGCCAATGTTCTTGCTGACACTTCACGCTACAGTAAGATGTGTTCCAGCAGCAATGATACATAGCCTCTTCTTCACAGTTAAAACACTGAAATACAATCATCAAGTACATCAAACAGTCGTAGGAAGAGCTGACAAACGTTCAAATTAATATTTACAACTTACAGTCATGTTTCCACACCATAAATTCTTATAATTCATTGACAAACATGAGCGAGTGTGTGAATATGGTCTTACGCAGATTTTAGCAAAAATACATCAAAATCACGGCTTCACACATTGAACCCACGTGGTTGGCAAACATGAAGTGTCATCTCCAAGTTCAAGAAAATTTCAATAAGAAGTACAAAAGTGCCAACATAATTCAATAGTTTACATTTTTTTATGAACAAGGTTATATTGATAAAGTTTTCTCAAAACAATTTCCAGAATTCTATGGCATCACGCTACTAGTGGCTTCTGTCCAGCTCTACTAGTGGTTACTGCCCCACTACCAAACAAGTGAAGATCCAGGGTAAAATAGGTTTTCCTCAACCCATGCTTGTTGTAAAAGGTGACTATGCTTGTCGTAAGAGGCAACTAGTGAGGTGGTTAGGCCTGTTGACTTGGTTGATGCATGTCATTGTATGATCGATGCTCATGATGTCAATCACTGGGTTGTCTGGTCCAGACTCGATTATTTACAGACTGCCGTCATATAGCTGGAATATTGCCGAGTGCAGCATTAAACAACAAACAAATTTAAGTGTCTACTGCCAAGCTCTATTAGTGCTAGCTGTCCTACCACTAAAGTGCAAATAACCCACTAAAAACACTTCCTAAGTTCTTAAAGAACCAGGGATTTTAGGGATTTGTCAGCACCTACAGGGCCACTCCAACAGTGCCTGCATGTCTTTCTAAATGCCTACAGAACAGCCACTCCAACAGTGCCTGCATGTCTTTCCAAATGCCTACAGAAGAGCCACTCCAACAGTGCCTACAGAACAGCCACTCCAACAGTGCCTGCATGTCTTTCTAAATGCCTGCAGGACAGCCGCTCCCACAGCACATGCATGTCTTTCTAAGTGCCTACAGAACAGCCACTCCAACAGTGCCTGCATGTCTTTCTAAATGCCTACAGAACAGCCACTCCCACAGCACATGCATGTCTTTCTAAATGCCTACAGAACAGCCACTCCAACAGTGCCTGCATGTCTTTCCAAATGCCTACAGAACAGCCACTCCAACAGTGCCTACAGAACAGCCACTCCAACAGTGCCTGCATGTCTTTCTAAATGCCTGCAGGACAGCCGCTCCCACAGCACATGCATGTCTTTCTAAGTGCCTACAGAACAGCCACTCCAACAGTGCCTGCATGTCTTTCTAAATGCCTACAGAACAGCCACTCCCACAGCACATGCATGTCTTTCTAAATGCCTACAGAACAGCCACTCCAACAGTGCCTGCATGTCTTTCTAAATGCCTACAGAACAGCCGCTCCCACAGCACATGCATGTCTTCTAAATGCCTACAGAACAGCCACTCCAACAGTGCCTGCATGTCTTTCTAAATGCCTACAGAACAGCCACTCCAACAGTGCCTACAGAACAGCCACTCCAACAGTGCCTACAGAACAGCCACTCCAACAGTGCCTACAGAACAGCCACTCCCACAGTGCCTGCATGTCTTTCTAAATGCCTACAGAACAGCCACTCCAACAGTGCCTGCATGTCTTTCCAAATGCCTACAGAACAGCCACTCCAACAGTGCCTGCATGTCTTTCCAAATGCCTACAGAACAGCCACTCCAACAGTGCCTGCATGTCTTTCCAAATGCCTACAGAACAGCCACTCCAACAGTGCCTGCATGTCTTTCCAAATGCCTACAGAACAGCCACTCCAACAGTGCCTGCATGTCTTTCTAAATGCCTACAGAACAGCCACTCCCACAGCACATGCATGTCTTTCAAAATGCCTACAGAACAGCCACTCCAACAATGCCTACAGAACCACTCCATTAGTGCCTACAGAACCAATCCATTAGTGCCTGCATGTCTTTCTAAATGCCTACAGAACACCCGCTCCAACAGTGCCTACAGAACCACTCCATTAGTGCATGCAGCCCCACTACTGCCTTCAGACCTATTCCACCAGTGCCTTCAGACCTATTCCACCAGTGCCTTCAGACCTATTCCACCAGTGCCTTCAGACCTATTCCACCAGTGCCTTCAGACCTATTCAACCAGTGCCTTCAGACCTATTCAACCAGTGCCTTCAGACCTGTTCCACCAGTGCCTTCAGACCTATTCAACCAGTGCCTTCAGACCTATTCCACCAGTGCCTTCAGACCTATTCAACCAGTGCCTTCAGACCTATTCAACCAGTGCCTTCAGACCTGTTCCACCAGTGCCTTCAGACCTATTCAACCAGTGCCTTCAGACCTGTTCCACCAGTGCCTTCAGACCTATTCCACCAGTGCCTTCAGACCTGTTCCACCAGTGCCTTCAGACCTATTCCACCAGTGCCTTCAGACCTGTTCCACCAGTGCCTTCAGACCTATTCCACCAGTGCCTTCGGACCACTGCCAGGTGCCTATTGCTCAGTGCCAACTCACCCACTGCTTCTTCTTGGTCTGTGATATGTCCTGCTTGTGTTTCTGGGCCAGCTTCTTCATCTCTTCCATGTACTGCTCTTTACACTTCTCCTCTGCCTGCCGCTTGGCCCGATCAATCTCACGCTGCGTATTGGTCAGAGCTCGCGACACTGCTTGCTGCTTGTCCTCCTCAAAGTCCTTCTTTAACTGAAATAGAACATGCCATCAGGTTGTAAAAATGTTTTACTTCAAACACTTCATACACAAAGTCACAGAATGGTTTGTCAAAACTTTGTCAACATTACCTATGCGACCCAGTGAAGATGCCCAAGTTTTGTTTTTTATTCCAGCTATATGATGGCGGTCTGTAAATAATTAAGTCTGGAGCAGACAATCCAGTGATTGACATTATGAGCATCAATACACGTAATTGGGATACGATGACATGGATCAACCAAGTCAGTGAGCCTGACCACCCGATCCCATTAGTCACCTCTTACGACAAGCAAAGCCACCTTTTACGGCAAGCATGAGTTGCGGAAGACCTATTCTATCGCAGACCTTCCCGGGTCGCCTACATTTTGTAAATTATTCCAAGACAGTGTATTTCATTTTTCTTGATCAGTGTTACCATTTCTTTTTACTAGCCTCTGCATGGGGTGAAACAAACATCTTAAATAGAGGCCATGCTATATCATGTTTATAACACTGGGTGCGCACCATCTGATATAAAAACATTTTTAAAATCGAAGCCAGCCCATCCTCAAGGTTTGAGCTTAGTGATCATGTAAATAATATGGAAATAAAAACCTCCAAAACTTTTTTCTAATATACCTCATAACATTCTTTGGATGTAAAACATGCTGCCATTGTACTACAGAAAAAAACCCAACTAAACTTGCATGGAGTGAGTTATTGAACATGGTCTTATGCTTTTAGAATCACCTAAGCATCATCAAGGCAGGGGACACCAAGAATTGCCAATTTTTGTGTTTTCCTACCGACGAGCATTGACAAATAGGCTTTGTCACCAACACATTTATCAGACTGGCTGATAAAGGGCATGAACTTGAAATATGCCACAATTCAAACAGATTCTGCAAAGCAGTACGGAATGTTTTTTTGGAAACAATCTGCTGAAGAATATGCCATCAGAAATTTTCACAGGAAAAAGCAGATATTATGCATCATTTGACAAAGATGGAAGCTGGCTTACCCTTTCCTCCAGCTTCGAGAGAGCTTGATCCTTCTGTTCTTTGAGCTCTTTCTTCAAAGTCTCAAACTCAATGTTATTTTTGGATGTCTTCTCCTCATTGACACCTCCACTACTTGGGTGAACTGGTGACTTCTTCACTTCATCTGTCTGTATAGAGACGGCATGCACTTTCTGAAATACAAGGCATGAACAGCTGCATATCATGCTGACCTCACCTTATAACCTACAACAGTATCACCGCCGTCATATAGCTGGAATATTGCTGAGTGCGGTGTTAAACAACAATCAACAGTATCTTGAAGGGTGCTTTTGTCAAAGAGTATCTGTTCCTGTCATGAAAATCTTCCTTTATAAATTTTCTCTGGGGGAATTTCTCCTATGGATAAATTTTACTTGGAATTTTTTTCCATGAGCAAGAATTTTGTTCCCCCATATTTCTGTACCGGTAAGTGTTTTAGGTCCAGCATAAATTTCATAGTGAAAATGTTTCCTAACCCTGGTATATAAATGTAATCATCTGGACTTCAAATATGAAAGTCGATTTCTTCGAATCACTGAAAATTTGTTCCACATGCATGTCCTCAATTTGATTTTGTGAGATACATTTATTCTGGCAATACTTGTTCTGGATGGAACTACATGTAATTCAATGTGGAGTGAGTGAGTGAGTATGGTTTTACGTCGCTTTTAGCAATATTCCAGCAATATCACTGCGGGGAACACCAGAAATGGGCTTCACACATTGTACCCATGTCGGGAATCAAACCTGGGTCTTTGGTGTGACGAGCGAACGCTTTAACCACTAGGCTACCCGAACACCCCAATTCCATGTGGAACTGATCATTGTTGAGACCTGCATTGTATCAAATGTACCGAAACTGAGTCCCATGTGACTTGACTGGACTAGGTCTAAATGAAAAAGCTTAGGTCCATTCAAGTTCAAGTCATTCATAACCCACAAGGCATATCAGTTTTGCCATCAATAATACCCTAAATTGTTTCTGCACTAATGAAAATGTTGTGTGTTTGTTTTTTGTAAAAAGCAGCACTCAGCAATATTTCAGTTATATGATGGTGGCAAATAAATAATCGTGTCTGGACCAGAAAATCTGGTAATCTGATAACTGTGAGCAACAATCCATGCAGCTGGAGAATGATGATACCCAACCAAGTGAGTGAGTGAGTTGGGTTTAACGCCGCTTTTAGAGTATTACAGTTATATCACAGCGGGTCAGCTTAATGTAGGAGGAAAGCCCAAAGTGATGCAGGTCTCAGACGTTTATCATTTAGGTGAAACCCACGAGCACAGGTATGGTGCTGACAAACCTAGAAACATAGTCAGGGCGAACCGGGATTCGAACTCACAATCATAGGTTTCTGGCGTGCCCAAGGGACGCTACTCTGCACAGCAAATCGCAGCGCCTGAGACAACTGTGCCACCCATGTCCCCCCATACCCAACCAAGTCAAGAGTTAGTGGATCCAATTCCCTGTTTAAACATGTTTTTAAATGACCAGACATCTGTTACCTAAATCTGAGAACCCAAAGAACATCAGTTCACATCCTGTTTATCATCCATATAGACCCAAAGATGGATATCTAAAATACATCATGACTTTTTCAACAAACAAAGTAAACGTATGTTTGACCTGACAAGCTTAAAACTTGTAAAGCTTACTGGTTTGATTGTTTGCGTCGATGAAGTTGTGGTATATATTATTGGTGGTGGAGGAGGTGTTGACATCTTGGATGGTGATCGTGCTCGGTTGTCTTCACTGGACGTGACTACCAAGGAATCTTCTGGAGATGAGGCCTGGAAGAGAAGGTGTGTATGACGGCAGGTCTAATAGCACTACAAACAACCAGAGTTACAAATTCATGTTTTTCACTAGAATGAAAAGATTACGTAAGTTGCAGTCAACCTGATAGTAAAGGTGTCAGTCCACAAGGAAATGTCACGAGTACTTCCTAAATTTACCAGTGTCTTATGTTAATTTCCAACCCTAATAACAACATGTTTATCAAGATTGTTTGTTTGTTGTTTAACGCCGCACTCAGCAATATTCCAGCCATAAGACAGCAGTCTGTAAATAATCGAGTCTGGACCAGACAATCCAGTGATTGACATTATGAGCATCGATCCACGCAAATGGGATACGATGACATGCATCAACCAAGTCAGCGAGCCTGACCACCCGATCCCTTTAGTCGCTTCTTAACATAAGCATAGTCACCTCTCACGGCAAGCATAGGTTGCTGAAGACCTATTCGACCCCGGATCTAATCAAGCCACAATAGTTTAAGTAGTAGTTCAGGATCTTTCTATCAAACATTTTTCTTACGGTGACAAATGTTCAAAGGAAGAGTAAGTAGTGAGTAGTGGTTTTAGCAATATATATTCCAACAATATCATGTCAGAAGGGCCCCCAGCTTGATAACGGTGTAGGAATCTACATCGAAATATCGCTAAAAGCCAGACATTGCTATCCATAAAGTTGTATGATTTCTTATTGTCCAGTTTATGTGTGCAAAAATGAACATTCATTGCTGGCTTCATACAATAAACATCATTCCAAGGTGTTTTTATCATAAGTTAAAGAAACCAATTTCAAGCATTCCAATATGATTTTAGAAGTGTACTCTACATCAGCAAATTTTGAACCCTGACATGTTGGTACGATGTTTTTTGTAACCTCCATCCCTTTTAATATATTTGGCTTGCATTTCTTTTCAACACATTGAGTCTTTTCAGAAAACACGAAAATCCAACGTTCACCCAATGCTAAAAACAGGCAAATGATATTTCGAATACACTTGAAATTACTCATGAACATTTTCATGAAGGTAGAGCTTTCATAATGTTATTACTGAGAAAAAGATAAGTCACTTATGTCTGATATTGATATGTATCGAGTGAGTGAGTGAGTGAGTGAGTGAGTGAGTGAGTGAGTGAGTGAGTGAGTTGTGTTTTAATGCCACTTTAATCAGTATTCCAGTTATATCATGGCGTGTCAGCTTAATGTGGAAGGAAAGCCCAAAGTGATGCAAGTCTCATGAGCATTGGTGTGGTGCTGACAAACCCAGAAAAATAATTGAGGCGAATGGGGATCTGAACCCACAATAACAGGTTTCCTTTGTGCCTCTGCACAGCAAATTGTAGCACCATAAACGACTGGGCCACCAAGCTCCTGGTATTCATCTAGACATGTTTAGTTCCAGTTCCAGTGTTGAAGTACTTGACATTGTTTTACCAGTGGTCTAACACAACATATCACTTACCGTATTCGACGTAATAAGCGCCCAGGGTGCTCTCAAAATTAAAAATAGGTGGCTCTTATTAGAATATAAGTTTGGTGAGCAAAGAAAAGAGAGTTGAAAAGATCGTAAATTTTGTGGTTTATGCTGACAGCCTGAAATTATACAGAAGAAAAGTCTGTGTGTATTATACACGACAGATATATTTTCCAGAATTAAATTGCCCATAATTAAGGGTGCACATAACACACGAGTGCGTATTATACATGAATAAATACGTCTTGTGTACAATGATCAATTGGAAAGGATGTTCATTGAGATTGTTCACTAGCCAATATATTAGCAAATATCGCCGTGGGTGCTTATTAGGACGGGGCGCTTATTACGTCGAATACGGTAAGTAACTATCTAGTTAACATTCAACAACTTTATCACAAAGTAACTTCACTTCTGTTCAAGTACCAGCAAATTATCAATAATAAATATACTTATCAACATGGCCATAATAAATATACTGATCAATAATAAATATACTCATCATGTGAAAGACTATCTAATTCAACATAAGCAGTACAACATTCATTATGACAAAATCTAACATAAAAGTAACTAAATCGAAATAATCGTAATCTAGCTTAATAAAATCTCAATAATCTACAAATTCTCAAGCATGCATATATTAATGCTAAGGTTAATGCTATTCAGCCACATAGACTACCGGTACTGTAAAGCTAATGCCAATCTCATTAAAATAAGATCTTAGATCTCGCTACCGCTAAACAAAGATCTCAGGACATACCATTACGGGTCACGTCAGACCGACCTTGCGTGAACTTTGACCGACCAATGGAATGACCAATCAGAAGGCAGCTTTCTCGTGCTTTACGGCACAAATTTCAAATTGGCGACTACGCTTCGAAACATATTTTAACAAATTCTCGATTACAAATTTAAAACCTGAAAAAAAAAATATTCTTGAATGGCTAATAGATGGTCTAGATTGTAAGGATTCAGTCGTTAAACCCGTAACTATTGTTCGGTAAACCCCATGTTAAAGTTTTCGAGATTGCATGATTAAAAAACACATTCCGACTGTCCCTTTCATAATCTGGTAAGCGACGCACTGATTGGTCGGATGAAAGGTGGTTCTGACGTGACCCCTAATGGGATGTCTTTAGATCTTTGTTTAGCGGTAGCGAGAACTAAGGTCTGATTTTAATGAGATTGAGCTAATGCAGAATCAAGACTAAATCCAAGTTATTGAAAATTCTTGAACAGCAAAAAGTGCCATATACACCAAACATCTATGTGCTTGATTTTCAGTTTTACAAACTGAGGCAGCAGTTCAAAAGTTCAAAGGTGGATCAAAAACTCCTTAAGCGTGATATGTTTTGATGCATCCTCTCACCAAAAAAACAAAACTTTTTTGAGGAGAGATTCTTTCGCCAACGAGTTCAAGTGCTTGCTACCAGAAGGGCAGGGCATGCTAACCCTTTTAACAAACATCTGATGTTGTCAATGATTTTCAGTGATCCATTTATATCATTTTCACCTCTGTTTGGCCCATATGCCCAATGATATCTGTTTTGGCAGATATTCAAGACTGGATATTCTCTGGCATTGACATTTACTTTCACAATATAAGCTGGTAATGGCACAGAATTCTTGAGTATGCTTTAGTACTCAACTTTTACTTACCGTATTCGACGTAATAAGCGCCCCGCTCTAATAAGCGCCCACTGCGATATTTGCTAATATATTGGCTTGTGAACAATCCCATTTAGCACCCCTTCCGTGATCAGTGTACACAAGACTTATTTATTCGCGTATAATACGCACTCGTGTGTTATATGCATTCTTAATTATGGGCAATTAAATTCTGGAAAAATATATCTGTCGCATATAAACATTTTAGTCTGTCAGCATAAACCACGAAATTTATCTTTCAACTCTGTTTTTCCACCAATATAATAGTCTAATAGGAGCCCCCTATTTCTAATTTTGAGAGCGACCTGGGCGCTTATTACGTCGAATACGGTAGTTCTTTAAGCTGTTTATGTTTAGGGTGAAAATATGAAGATAAGCATGACCAGAGATTTTACTTAACAGGTATACACTGCAAATCTACAGAACAGATATCTAGGATGGAAACTTACAGATCTGTTTACCACTCAAGGTCCAAACTCAAGGAGGTAAAATATAGACATAACATCACACTTTTGAATTGCTTCCGTACTATTTAACAAAAATATGCTTTTGTTTAAAATTAACAGAAACCCCCAAATCCTCACTTTTCCTACATGTCAGTAGGAAGGTATCTTCTTATATGTATTATCTAGTCAATAAATCTAGTGGATACTTATCTTTACCAAAGTGTATTGTTTATCTGACTTATTTGTATTTGTTTGTTGTTTAACTCCACTCAGCAATATTCCAGCTATATGACTGTGGCCTGTAAATAACTGACTCTGGACCAGACCATCCAGTTATTGACATCAAGAACATCAGTCCACACATTTGGCAGACGATGACATGCACCAACAAGTCACCACGCCTGACAATCTGATTCATGTAGTTGCAGCTTACGACAAGCACGGGTTGCTGGGGGACCTTTGATCTTACCCGGTATCCTCACGGGTCATTGTTTATCTGAAGAACTATAGTTGTTTAATTAACTTACTGATCCTTTTGTGATTTGAAGATGAGAAGTTTGCTTAGAGTCATCTACTCCAGTAATTTCAAATCTATAAATCAGTTTTTGCCACCCTAGTCCCATCTTAATGACCATTTATAACAAGCACGAAGCACTAGGCACAAGATGGATGTAGTTCACACAGAGTCCTAGGACTACTAGATCATATAAGTGACGAGAAATTAGGTGAGGTGAAATTGGGTTTAACGTCGCGTCCAAGATTATTGCACTTATATAGCGACGTGCATGCACGTGTATGTGTGTGTGTGGCTGCTTGTACTAGTCCGGACTGATGCCGATTTATAGTGCTAGCTCACTGAGATATCATGCCGCAGTTTAACATGAATACCCCACTCAGACACAGTATACTGACTCCGAGCCGACCAGTCCTTGTTTTAGCCCGTTAATGCCGAGCGCCAGACAGGGTAATAACAAGTACAATATTTTAACGTCTTTTTGTATGACGCGGCTGGGGATTAAACCCCGGACCTTCCGCTTTCCGGGCGGACGCTCTACCACTAGACCACGGAGGCGGTCGACGAGAAATTAGATGGCATTACGTGAAGTTATCAGTCCAAGAATTAAAGAGCACAATGAGACCTCACTTATCTGGACTTCTGACTATCGGAAAGCTTTGGCCCTTCATTCGGAAACCAGGTTTCCACATCCTGCTGTCATATCTACTGACCAATGTGACTAAGCCTACATAAAACTGGTTCACACAAAAAGCCAACAAACTGATATGAAACTTTAGCCACAAGTCCAAAGCCCAAGTCAAGTCAAATTCTGTTTGGTTCAGTAACTCAGCTAATAACAGTCCTCATACTAACACTTAATTCTACTGAAAATGATGCTCAAGCTAGTAGTCTCAAAAGTTATTGGCACAGAATAATACAATGCTTGTCTATGTCAGATCTTGGGATGCAAAAAAGAATTCATCTCGTTAAGGGAAGCTAGTTTTAGGTAAACGCTTAGTATGTGACATTTAGGGCATCTACAGCGACTACTGAAAGTGAAGTTAATTAAAAGATCAAAGTTGATCAGCTACCAAGACATAAATGTTAGGCGTCATGACTTACAGATTCATAGATACATTGCAAAACACACGATGATACGATACATGCCTACCCATGTACCAATTTATGTTTTGGTTCTGTATTCATTCTATAAAAAGTAATATTTACAAAATTTTGCAATAAACTAGCCTGAGTATCTTACAGCTTTAAGTCTCGTTACCAATCTGTAGAGGTATAACCAAACTACACATCATGTTATAATACACAATTGGTCTACCCATATACTGAATCATATGATAATTTTGTAACAATTTCCAAAAAGTAATACCGTAATCAACGTAATAAGCGCCCAGAGTGCTCTCAAAATTAGAAACAGGATGCTCTTATTAGAATATAATTTTGGTGAAAGAGTTGAAAGATCGTAAATTTCGTTGTTTATGCTGACAACCTGAAATGATACCAAAGAAAAGTCTGTGCGTATTATACACGACAGATATATTTTTCCAGAATTTAATTGCCCGTAATTAAGGGTGCATTTTACCCACGATTGCGTATTATACACGAATAAATAAGTCTTGTGTACATTGATCTATCGGAAGGGTGCTAATTAGGATTGTTCACTAGCCAATATATTAGGAAATATCACCGTGGGCGCTTATTAGAGCGGGGCGATTATTACGACGAATATGGTATTTACAGAGTTCTGCAATAATCCAGTCTGATAACAACTACTCAGCTAGATTAACCTCACTACCTATTATGAAACAAAATGCATAAATCGCATTGCATTACACAATTAGAACAAGTCGAATAAATCAGTCATGCAAAATAAACATAGTTTACAGTCTTGTTAGTCGGGGCTGATTTTGCTCATGCTATATATTGTGATTCGCCACATCTATCAAAACATGAAGTAGGCGTAACATGCAAACCTAATAATAAGTGTTCAGATAAACAGGGTTCCACTGTATGTGTTAATAGGATGCAGTGACTATGTGCACAAGGGCTACTGAGTGTGACTAGAGTACAACACTAGGAAGTTAATATTGTTATTGTGCTCTACAGGAAGTCAGTTTGTACATCATACGGTACATTCCTAGCTCAGATGATACAAGCATCAACTCTGTCTTAGGGACCAACCACTTCACGGTCTGGGTGGAACCTGACATGTTTATTTCCTGTGAAAGGTGAGTGAGTGAGTTGGGTTTAACGCCACTTTTAACAGTATTCCAGTTTTATCACGGTGTGTCAGCTTAATGTGGGAGGAAAGCCCGAAGTGATGCAGGTCTCAGACGTTTACCACTTCGGTGAAACCCACAAGCACGGGTATGGTGCTGACAAACCAAGAAACATAATCGGGGTAAACCGGGATTCGAACCCACAATCATAGGTTTCTGGTGTGCCCAAGGGATGCAACTCTGCACAGCTTATGGCTGCGCCTTAGACAACTGGGCCACCCATGCCCCCTCCTCTGAAAGGACTGAGTGAGTGAGTTGGTGTTTATGCCACTTTGGGAAAATTTCAGAAATATCACAGTGGGGGACACCAGTAATTGTACCCATGTTGCTATCAAACCCAGGCCTTCGGCTTGACAAGTGAACACCTTAACCACTAGACTAGCCTACCGCACCACAGAAAGGAGGAACTGAACAAACTCATTTCTTTTTGTTCACAACATGAGCATTTGGGGATAAATGCAATGTTTTTATACTTACCTGACCCTGCACAGCACTGTGTAGTATCAGGTAAGGTAAACACATTTTTTTCAGGACATCCAACATGTCTAATAAACAAACATTCGTGAGTCAAAATTATTTTTTTCCAAGTATTTTCTGAAACAAAGAATTTTTTTCAAAAGATCCTATCCCTCCTCAGAATGTGAAACGACTGGTCCCTCACATGAAAACAAAATTGAAATGAGAGTGTTAGTTTATCCATGTGCTGAAAGGTTAGGTCCTGTATCTCACTGGATACTGGAGACAGATGATTAATTATATACCTTACAAGACATGTGTCGCAGAACATTCTTGTAGGTAATTATATAGAAATTAAACTGCAAAGAAGAATATGCTGTCATAAATAGTGCTGGTTATCATTCTGAACAGTCATATTAATCACTGTTAATAATCAATTGATTTTCAAATAATACTACATGTACTAGATCAATGTGATGAACATAAAGTTAATGGTATTTTACTGATCAAAAGTCTTGGCATATTGATAATCATCTTGAATGCCCTACCCAAAGGGTTAACAGATTATTTGATCTTAATTTAAACAATCCAGCACTACTTAGTAAGTTGTATACACAGCTTGAGATGAAGCGAAATTGAAGCCTATGGATGGAAAACAGAAGACGTTATTCAGCAGAAAACTTACAGATCTCTTTTTGGACTTCTTTGACTGAAATCAAACAGTAGCTTATCATACTTCTATGTGCGATGGGATCCAAACTGAAATTAAAAACCTGACCAGGGCCCCGTTCCACAAAGCGATCTTAGTGCTACGTTGATCGTAAGTCTATGATAAAATTACGACCAACTTTGCATTAAGATCGCTTTGTGGAACGGCTTCCAGGGCCCCGTTCCACAAAGCGATCTTAGCACTACGACTATCATAAGCTTATGTTAAAGTATGGGAGCTACGATCATCTAAGCGCTAAGATCGTTTTGTGTAACAGGGCCCTGGAAGCCGTTCCACAAAGTGATCTTAGTGCTACGTTGATCGTAAGTCTATGATAAAGTATGGCAGTTACGACCAACTTTGCACTAAGATCGCTTTGTGGAACGGCTTCCAGGGCCCTGTTACACAAAACGATCTTAGCGCTTAGATGATCGTAGCTCCCATACTTTAACATAAGCTTATGATAGTCGTAGTGCTAAGGTCGCTTTGTGGAACGGGATTCTGGTAGCATAACAAAGTGATACTGCTGTACCAATACCAGAAGTAAACACTACCACATGCCAGACTGTACATTACTAACAAACAACAAACAAGAACAACAATGCAAACCTTCACATGCTGGTCTGAAATACGTTTCAAAACAACTTTAGCGGCATGTACTTTTGATGGCAGGAGACTTGTTGACGTCACTTGTCGTGTGTCCGTGTCATCCTCCCAGTCCACGTCATCACTGTCGCTGTCCATGCTGGACTCGGTGACTTTCTCCCGTAACAGCTTCTGGTGGAGTTCAAGCTCTGAACATGCTTTTACAAACCCTACAAGAGAAGTCAAGATAATCAGGTGTCATTGTGAGTGAGGTGATGTGAAATTGGGTTTTACGTTGTGTCCAAGATTATTGCACTTATATGGTGACGTGCATGCACGTGTGTGTTTGTGGCTGCTTGTACTAGTCCCGACTGATGCCAATTTATAGTGCTAGCTCACTGAGATACCATGCCGCAGTTTAACATGAATACCCCACTCAGACACAGAATACTGACTCCGAGCGGACCAGTTTTAGCTCCTTAATGCCGAGCGCCAAACAGGGTAACAACAAGTACCATCTTTTAACGACTTTTGGTATGACGCGGACGGGGATCGAAACCCGGACCTTCCACTCTCTGGGCGGACGCTCTACCACTAGACCACGGATGCGTCATCATTGTGAGTGAATGGAGTTTACATTACGAGTTGTGGTATAATGCTTCCTGTGTAAAGCCAGAGACAAGTGGTATAAAACCTAATGAGGGACATACATAACCCCATGTACCCCGAGTGATCCTCCTACAACGAATTTATTTTACTGTTATGTTTTAATATGACACTGTAAAAGAATTAAAACAAAATCAGAATTGATAGAAAACAGCTGTTCGATTAAGCTGAGGTTAACTTGTTCTATGCCATGTGATTTCATTGATATGAAATTCGTGCTGCTTTTTGCTTTGAAACGGGGCATAAGGCATTTATTCTGCCTCTCAGAAATCCATGTGTAGCTTGACTTGCTCGTGGCAGGTATAAGGGATTTATTCACCTACAGAAAAATTTATTTCCTTCCATCGCAGGATACATAATAATTTATCAAGATCACGTGGACCAATCAGATCTGATCATTCAGACATGGAGGTATGACAAAGAAGATAGCTGGCAGTGTAAGCTATGATACAAGCAAACCATCTGAAAATATGTCTTCAAAAAGAATCAGATATGATGTTTGTGTCAGATCTTGGGACCCAACATAAAGAATCTCATTAAGGGAAGCTACAGTATTGACCCCCCAGTCTTACTATAGTTGGGCGATTTATTGCCACCCACCAAGATCAATGTTGAACAGAATAGTGATATTAAAACACTTCAATAATAATTGATCACATAATGCTTTTGTTGAATGGTGGTTTAACAATCAAATTTGATTCATAAACACGAGTACTCAGCTACCATGACATATCCAAGGGTGTCATTATTCACTGACCTATAGATGCAAATTTTTTTAGTCTTTTATTTTAATTCTGGGAAATATTCAGCTTTAGAATTCCCATGGAGTTGATATCATAAATAAACCGTCCAGTTGGAGTTATTTCAGTTGTAGAGCACCATACCTGCAGTCCGCTTCACTGTGAGACTTCTGACATTGGTTGAGATAGGCTTGATCTTTCCTTCAGGGATCACAGCTCTGAAAAGCATCACATCCGAACCAAGTTCAACACAAATACTATCTGTCACTTTATACATTTGCAAGCACTTATGCCCCCCTTTCACTACGACCACGAATATCCCGAATCACCCCGAATCGTAAACTTTCGAAAATCATGATGATTTGGCCAATAATGCAAACTTTCGTGGCTAATCGGGTTGAAAAATATGAAGAATGCCAGGAATGGGTTAAGAAACATGTACGAATTACAAGATTCATGTACGGATCATGTACGATTGTAAGAATCACCTACGACTAAGTTACGAAAATATGCCAAATGTTAATCTTACTTAATTCTTACATGATTCGTAGTTGACTCGGGACATTTGTGGCTGTTTCAGGATGTTTTTGGGTTGAGGACAAGACATTTTAGGAGCCACGAATCGCTAAGAATAGCCAAGAATGCAAAAGAATGGATTTTGAAGCTGTTTTGGAACATAAGAATTAATTACGAATGGATTACGATACAGCCACGAAATTGCAATTCGGGGACCCTTCCACGAAAGTTTTTGACAAACAAATTCTATGAACTCCCGCGAACTGTACTAATGTTTGGGAATCAAATAAGATTCACTTAAGAACTCCAAGAAATGATTGAGATTTATCTATGAACATGAAAATTTACTATTCGGGGTGATTCGGGGTATTTGTGGTCGTAGTATAATGGGGGCTTAACATAGGGTACAAGTTGGCTAAAAGGTAATAAAGGCTTTAAGTTATGTAGCATGTCAACTTCTAACATGTTCTTTTGACATAAAACAATTGTGTTAGTTTTGGATCTATTATAATGACTAAGATATAAAGATTGTATTTACATAATTCAAGGATTTGGTAACCAAAAACTTCCAATTACATTCAGTGAGTGAGTGAGTGAGTGAGTATGGTTTTACGCCGCTTTTAGCAATATTCCAGCAATATCACGGCGGGGGACACCACAAATGGGCTTCACACAATGTACCCATGTCGGGAATCGAACCCGGGTCTTCGGCGTGACGAGCGAACGCCAGTGAGTGAGTGAGTTGGGTGGGTGAGTTGGGTGAGTTGGGTGAGTTGGGTGAGTTGGGTGAGTGAGTTTACGCCGCTTTTAACAGTATTACAGTTATATCACGGCGTGTCAGCTTAATGTGGGAGGAAAGCCCGAAGTGATGCAGTTCTCAGACGTTTACCACTTCGGTGAAACCCACGAGCACGGGTATGGTGCTGACAAACCTAGAAACATAATCGGGGCAAACTGGGATTCGAACCCACAATCATAGGTTTCTGGCGTGCCCAAGGGACGCAACTCTGCACAGCGAATCGCGACGCCTTAGACGACTGGGCCACCTGTGCCCCACATATACAAAGAAATAAATCCTGATTGACAAAGTATTTTGTTGATATCTTTAGATTCTCTGGGTTAATATGTTCTCTATTTCAGCTTCAGAATATATACATGAAGATCCAGGTTAGAAATGGTCGTCACCAGCCCATGCCGGTTGTAAGAAGTGACTATCAGGGTTGGACGGTCAGGCTCGCTGACTTAGTTCATACAGGTCATCGTATCCCAATTGTGTAGATCCATGCTCATGATGTCAGCCACTGGATTCTCAGGTCCAGACTTGATAATCTACAGACCGTCGTCATATAGCTGTACTATTGCTAAGCGCCAAACAACAAACAATTAATCAGAATATATTCCAACCTATTTGATAGTCATCATTACGTCACTTCAACCAGGTATACTATCAATTTTTCTATTGGACATTGTTCTTGTTTTGGATTAAAGATCAACATTATTCCAGCTTTATGACAGAGTCCTGCAAATAATCACGTCTGGACCAGGCTAACCAATGATTGATGTCATGAGCAATGTCCTATGCCGTCTTGTTACGATGACACACATTCAACCAAGTCACCTGATCCATTTTGTCGCTTTGTGCAAGAGATGACAAATCCTCCCGGCGCCAACAATAGCAAAAGGCACCACTTCAGGCCCTGGGTGTCATTGTACAAAACAACCTTAGCACTACGACAGTTGTAAGTCTATGTTAAGGTATGGGAGTTACGATCACCTTAGCGCTAAGATCGCTTTGTACAACGGCATCCAGGTTAAAAAAAGTACCAAGTTTGGATGAAAAATCTTTCACGGTTTTCAAGTTATGCAGGCGGACATATGGATGGACCAGGGGATGACCATATCCCAACCCCACCGCATTATATCCCGGGGGATAAGAAGCATGGTTGCTGGGGACCTTTTCTAACCTGGACTCCCTATGGTGAGTAGCTCTACCATACCTTTGGTGGTATCCTCCAAAGAATCGAACATCATATTTTCCAGCTACAACCTTTATTACTTTTGCTGGCCAGAAGCTGAAACCTTTCTGCTTAGCATACACAAGTTCATGGGCAGGATTCTGAAACATTCATTTGAAAAACTATTCATGCATTCAACCAGGGAACATATTCTATTGTCAGTTCTATCTAGTGAGTGAGTTGGGTTTAACGCCGCTTTTAACAGTATTCCAGTTACATCACGGCGTGTCAGCTTAATGTGGGAGGAAAGCCCAAAGTGATGCAAGTCTAAGACGTTTACCACTTCCGTGAAACCCACAAGCACGGGTATGGTGCTGACAAACCTAGAAACATAATCGGGGTGAACCGGGATTCGAACCCACAATCATAGGTTTCTGGCGTGCCTAAGGGACGCAACTCTGCACAGCGAATTGCGGCGCCTTAGACGACTGGGCCACCCGTGCCCCCTCAGTTCTATCTAGCAAATAATACATTTCTGTAAATAAACTTCCACAAAAAAAATCTGCATTATCTAGAAAACTACATGAGTCGACAACAGGCTTTAGTATACTTATGTAGCATATTGAGATATGAATCTTGGAAATAGTCTGTAAAATTGTATGAAGAGAGGGTATAGCATTTAGCACTTGTATTATATTATATATGTCGGGTCCTGGTACAAACAGTGACCTACATATTTTCACCTTCTCCCCATTCTTAGAAGTGAGTTTAAAGCCACTTTGAATATTTTAGTTCTATCATGGCATATCAGCATCATGTGGCGGGAAAGCCTGAAGTTTGCAGGCCTTAGAGTGAGTGAGTATGGTGTTACGCCGCTTTTAGCAATATTCCAGCAATATCACGGCGAGGAACACCTGAAATGGGCTTCACACATTGTACCCATGTTTGGAATCGAACCCGGGTCTTCGGCGTGACAAGCGAACGCCTTAACCACTAGGCTACCCGACCACCCCTTAGATGTTTACCACTAAGGTGAATCCTATGAGCAAGGGAATGGTGCTGACAAACCTAGAAACGTGATCAAGGTAATTCTGGGAATTGAACCCCCCAACATTTCTGGGATACCTAAGAGATAACTTGAAGAGCTTGAGTTAGTGAGTATGGTTTTACGCCGTTTTTAGCAATATTCCAGCAATATCACGGCGGGGGACACCAGAAATGGGCTTCACACATTGTACCCAAGTAGGAAATCGAACCCATTTTTTTTGGCGTGACAAGCAAACCCTTTAACCACAAGGCTACCCGACCGCACCGGTCAGTCTTGGAAGGTTAGACAGGCACAGTTTACAGAAATCTATATGCGACCAATACTTACACATGGCTGACAAAACCAGTTTGGAGGTTTGGCATTTGATAAATAATAACAATTAGGACATTGCTGAATTTCATCCAACTGAAAAATAAGCAAAACATAATTATAGCAACAACCTTTTTTGTCTAGTTTATCAGCGTAAAATACTAAAGAAATTTTCTAAAAGAAAATGATGAATAAGAGAGGGATATATACAACATAGCTTGAGTGAGTATGGTTTTACGCCGCTTTTAGCACTGTTCCAGCATTATCACGGCGGGGTACACCAGAAATGGGCTTCACACATTGTACCCATGTCGGGAATCGAACCCGGGTCTTCTGCATGACGAGCGAACGCTTTAACCACTAGGCTACCCGACCGCCCCACAAAGCATGATCGCACATGGCCCCATGTACAGAGCACAGGTCAAAAAGGAGATGGTGGAAGGGTACCATGTTTGGCAGCTTGATTCCTGAGTGAGTGAGTGAGTATGGTTTTACGTCTCTTTCAGCAATATTTCAGCGATATAACAGCAGGGGAGACCAGAAATGGGCTTCACACATTGTACCCATGTGGGAATCGAACCCGGGTTTTTCGGCTTGACAAGCAAATGCTTTAACCACAAGGCTACCCCACTGCCCCTTGATTCCAGAGAGTTTCTAAAGCCTTGGTCCTGCCCAATACTGAAGAACATATTATATGTGGCAAGTGACTTTGTTGAACTATGCCTCTGTTCACCTAGCAGTGAATGAGTACCCAGTAGGACAAGATGGTAAAACATTTTACAGGCATCTTGGGTTGTATACTTCTCATGGAACTGAGAATGAAAATTGCGTGCAATATCACCAGTACTCATCACGACTTTTGTGTGATATGGCAAACACAATCAGGAGGTCTTATAGCACAACTTCACTCCCCCCTCTTTTCCAGGTAAAAATCATTCATAACCATGACAACAGTCTTGTGATTCAAGGGCTCACTCAGAGGAAGTCACGATTTTGAAAGGAGACTTGCTATATTTATGCCGAACTTTATTTCATAAGCATGATAAGATGAATCTTGATTAAATGGATTAAAGAGTCTTTATCCTAAGTCAAACTAGTCACAGGGTTTGTAAAGTCTTGAACAAGACAACCTATGCAAATGTTTAGTCACTGATAGCATAGAATCAGTGCAGTATAACCATGAACAACACCGCTTTGAAAATGTTGAACAGTATTTCACATTCATGAGGGAGGAAAGCCCAAAGTGATGCAGGCCTTGGACGTTTACCACTTTTGTGAAACCCACACGTACGGATTTTTGAACTGACAATGCAGGAAACCTAATCAGAGCAAATCTGGCACAGCAACACGGTCATGGGATACCTAAGGGACACAACACTGCACAACAACTGTGATGCTCCAGATGACAGGGCCACCTGTGCCCCTGATAACATAGACATGGTAGAGGTGAAATGGGGTTTAACGTGTCCAAGATTATTGCACTTATATAGCGACATGCATGCACGTGTGTGTCTGCTTGTACTAGTCCAGACTTATGCCGATTTATAGTGCAAGCACACTGAGATACCATGATGCAGTTTAACATGAATACCCCACTCAGACACAGTATACTGACTCCGAGCCGACCAGTCCTTGTTTTAACCCCTTAATGCCGAGCGCCAGACAGGGTAACAACAAGTACCATCTTTTAACGTCTTTTGGTATGCCGGTCCCGGGCATCAAACCCCGGACCTTCCGCTCTCTGCGGGGACGCTCTACCACTAGACCACAGAGGCAGTCTAGACATGGTAGAAGAGTCATATGACCTGAAAATGGTGATGGGCTACTTACATCATATTTACAATCTCTTATCATTATTCTGGCCAGCTCAGCCATTCCACCTTTCTCATCTGTAACAAACAGGAACATTCATACACTGCCTATGCCAATCTGATGCAAAAAGCATTTACACATAGCTTAAAATATCTCTGACATGTTTGGCTAAATTGAAGAAAGAAGAAAAAGGATGCTATCTTTCAAAATAGTTCTTCAAAATGACCAGGCAATTCTTGAAGCCATCTTGCATCGTGTCCAAGGGCTATTGTCCTGGTTAAGTGAGTCATTGACCTTTAAGTGGACAATGGGGATGAACATTTTAGAATATAAATGTATGATCTTGCATAAACATGATAAAAGCTGAAAAAGTATTTTGCTGTTGTAACATTGGTTGGTTGTTTAACGCCGCACTCAGCAATATTCCAGCTATATGACAGCGGTCTGTAAATAATCGAATCTGGACCAGACAATCCAGTGATTGACAGCATGAGCATCGACCCACGCAATCTGGATCGATGACATGTATCAACCTAGTCAGCGAGCCTGACCACCCGATCCCGTGAGTTGCCTTTTAGACAAGCATAGTCTTCTTTTATGGCAAGTATGGGTTGCTGAAGACTCGGAATATTGGTAACCATGGTAACCATAATACAATAATGTCATCGATCCATTGTAGTCTCTGTGCCCTTTTGAATCATCTCTTACAGGGATGTGATTCTGGACATTTCCCACCTCAGAATCTCCATTAGTGAGGGAGCAGGTTGCAGCATTAGAAAATGGAACTAGTCCTATAGTCCTTGCCAAACTAGTAGAAATTTACCCTTAAGTGATTTTGCTACATGTTATCATTATAAGGAGTAGTTGACTAAAACTGTCAGTTTCTATCGCTGTGGTTGTGCTTTAACACAGATTTGAACATCATTTCATTAATATTGTGCCAGCATAATGTGGCAAGAAGCCCGCAATAACCCTTTTTGGATTGGTTGGTTAGTTGGTTGGTTGTTTAATGCCGCACTCAGCAATATTCCAGCTATATGACGGCGGTCTGTAAATATTCGAGTCTGGACCAGACATTCCAGTGATTAATATCATGAGCATCGATCCACGCAATTGGGATCGATGACATGCATCAACCAAGTCAGCGAGCCTGACCACTTTTTGGAAGCTCAGATTGAGTGACTATGGGCTTACACTGCTCTTAGTGATATTCAAGCAATATCATGGCAGAGGAAGATAGATGTGGTCTTCACCACATTGTATCCATGTGGACATTCAAACCCAGGCCTTTGGCATGATGAGTGAACACCTGAACAACAAGGCTATCCATCAGCCCGAGATGTTGTGATTGACCAAGGGTCATATTTGGGTTGAATCTGGGTTCACTGCCAACGGTGGCATCCTAGGCTACAAGGCCTTTCATGCTATCTGCAACACAATGATGGCTTGATCTGTGACTTTTATCCCGTAAACAGACATGTTTTAACTCACCTCCATATAACAGAAAGACATTATGAAGCACATTTTGGGCATCTGCTAGGAACTCCTCAAGGCACTTGTATTTCTTGGCCTGAACCTTTGTTTCCATGGTGTTCAGATCCATGGGCATGTAGAGGAAACGATTAAACTCCTCGGTGTGGCCGATTCGATGTAGTTCTCTGGTCTGAAACAGTCATGTGTACAGTGAACAGTGGACAAAAGCCACACATGCCCAAGGACATTATTGATAGTCACATATAAATTGTTTGATAGGCATTACTTGACGGGTGACAAGGTAGACAAAATTTTATGGATAACAACTTCTTAAATACTGTAAAAAGCGGCGTTTCGGTATAGATCCTTATACCGTTGTCTTGCTAAGGATCTATACCGAAATGTAGCTTTTCAAAGAAATAAAGAAGTTGTTATCCATAAAATTGTGTCCACCTTGTAGTCACATATAGCAGTGTATATTTATCATCCAAAACTGGCTCCCACAGGAGATATCGTTTGGATGCAATCAAGCGATATCTACACTGTATATATCGGCTGCAATGAAATTACATCACACTGCTTTTCAGACCATTGTGACGCCACTGGTTACCATGACGTCACAATCAAATGACATCACTAATGGCTCTGCTACTGAAGTTGTTAGCAGTACTTTTTTACACTGAAGACACTGCTAATTACTGTCAACAAATTGAAAAAGCTGGAAGAATGATGTTGGATGATAAATAAAATCTCACCCTTGTGTCCTTTTGACAAGACAAGCCTCGGAATTTTTCCACTTTTATCAACTCGTGTTGATATACTTGATATCAAGAGACACTTGGGTGAGATTCTCTATATACACACTTAGATGCAGCTGATGTCACAAATTGGATCAAAATGAAGCCTAAAGATTGTTGCACTAAACATGCCAAAATTCACATGACTGTAACTGATCCCAGTGTAAGAGAACATTCCACAGCTGATTTGGTCAAAGACGCTTAAGTCACAATTGAGGATTTTCCAACAATTTGATGTATTTACAAAGTCTGCAGTAGGTTTTCTAGAAAGCCAGTGCATGCAAAATCTTTTGATTAAAGTTTAGACAACATATCTAGGTACAATGTTGTCTTTTCATTGTGAGTTAATGGGGTATCGAGTACAGTGCACACCTATTTCCAACAATAACAACTGTGTAGATTGGTGTGCGCCATGATACCTAACACCAGAATACCATGTCAACCAATCAATAATGAAGTACGCATTTCAATCCTGTTATTACATTAACATTTTATATCTGGACTGTGGGATGGTATCATACATGACGGGGGAACTGATTTGATTTGACACGTGACTGGCCAGAGATATGTTCACGAAATTTTGCATCCTGTCATTGTTCCATTCTCTAGTTATCAGCAGAAATTTTCAACTGCATGGTGACAATGACAGACAACATCGAGCTGATGTGAGGCTTGATAAAGAATTTCCGCTTACCTTCTCTTTGAGACGTAGCACAGTGTAACTCAGTAAAGTGTTGAGCAGTTTCTTTTTGATTTTGTTTCTCTTTTTACCTGCCTGGAAACACAATGACAACATGAACATCTCGCAGACCTCCAATGTGGTCAAGACATAGCAAAACATCTCCTAACAAAGTACCTTACAAACTACTACATAAACACAATGAGTGAGTGAGTGAGTGAGTTGGGTTTATCGCCACTTTTAACATTATTCCAGTTATATCACGGCGTAAACACAATGAGCATTGTCTTATACAATACTTCTCAGCAATCACATATCCCAATATCACTGATAAGGATACCGATCGTGTATTCTTATGTTAACCACACTTTAAACATGTTAAACTTTACATCTTTTGACATTATAGAAATATATAGCCTATTCTAAGCAGGATCTCATTTACCATGCTAAAATATTTACCACCTATGATAATCTTTTTAAAATGATGTTTTTCTGATCTTAAGGATTTGGGTCTGAAAAGATACAGGTATCACCTATGCTTATTTACATAGTTTAATTCCATCTAAGTTCAAATGGCAAACTTTAAACTTGTTAAACCTGATGCAGAATGTGTCGTCATCTGTGAGATATAATAATGCAGTCCCAATGTAAGCGCAAGCAAATCACCAAATATTACCACTTTTACGATAAGCTTGCTAAAGGTCATACCCGGACCTCCCATCATGCATTCATAGTATCATTCAGAACAGATATGTGTAAACATCCACTGCCTACTATAATGTCACCACTGTAAAGTCAAAACATGAAACAGACAAATACAAATAGCTATCTACAACTGGAAGTTCATATACAGATATCATGGCCTTAGATGTTTTTTGCTTGGTTTACATATTCAGAAGAAATAAAAGCAGAATGACAAGGATTTATTTTTACCACCTACAGTTAAGATCACTTTGACCAAAAATAATGACAATGAATTGCCGCTGTCAGATATTAGATTCATAATATAAACAAGTCCCAGAGCTCCAGATAACTTTTTGAGCAATTGAGCTTTTTACTCAAAGGTTTCTATTTTAATTGGGTTATTAGATTTTTCATTGGGCAACCAATATTTTTTCTTTCATCTATTTATCACTCTATTGGGTTTTTCACAAAATGAGGAAGTATTTTGAGATTTTAAAAAAATGAAATAATGTTTTAGATGTATAAAACGGTTCTAAATATAGGCTTGACTCGGAAAGTAAATTAGCTCGTAATTGTGTTTTTGAAATTAGCTCAGCTGTACGCATGCTGAAAAGCTTCATTGGGTGTTTACTAGGGCTGTTTCCAAACAACTGAGTTTTCATTTAATGCATGCGTCTCTGAACGCAAGTGAATTGAAAGTAATTGGGTTTTGAATAGTTTTGGGGGTATTTTACGAAAAAACGCAGCTTTTCTGTAGCTCTGAGACCATGATAAAATTCAACTATCTCCTACAATCCAAATCAACTTTTAAGATGATTAACAAATTCTGTATAATCATTTTTCTAAAAACTTTTTTTAAAAAAAATGATCCAATTTTTCACTATCAAAATATGTAAACAAAAACAAAAAATGTCAGGCCCAATGATAACAAACTACATATGCAAACAGAGGCTCCCAATCCTAGAGACAGAACAATTTCAATACCTATTATCAAGAGGTATATTGCTTACAATACACAGCAAGATCCAGCGAGTACACACCTTCTAACATGTATGCATCTTCCCTAGGCAAGTGAGTTAACGGACTATAAAAGTCCAGTTTCCACCCTTGCCGAACTAGGCTGGCATTATGGAGTTACATTTTAGCTCGACTAACGAGTCTATGCATAGTCCAATCAAAATTGCGCTCCGAAAAGCGAAATCCGGTTCGTAAACTGTCATGCAGATTTCGGTTGATTGCAGGATTTGCAAAGCATGTGCACCACTAACTCGTTGTCAACAGATATTTTCTAAATCTTTTCATGTTTTTAATCAAGGTGCTCACGTAATTTGATGCACTTCGCGATGTAAGACTTGTTTTATCACAATATATAGATCTTGATTATCGATCAGATCGTCTTGACAGGGCGCGGCAGTTTGTTTGAAGCAAATGCAAGTGATATGTGAGGTGGAATCTGATTGGTCCATAGGAGAGATATAGAAGGGGCATAACTCGTAATAGCCACTGGTGGTGCTACGATTGAGCTCTGGAATTCCTGCATAGTTCGGCAAGGGTGGAAACAGGACTTTTAAAGTCAGTTAACTCTCCTGCCTCGGGAATATGACATGCCTGAGGCAGCGAACATTACTCCCATGTTACGAACTACCTCTCCACTATCAATGCAAGTGCAAAAGTGCAGCTATTGGTGATGGTTAGTAAACAGTCAAAATGTAAATAGTATGTTTGTCTTGAAATTTCTCGAAGGACATAAACCAACAATTAATGCAGTGATGTCTCTGAAGAAATACATGGCAACACCATAAAGAGTGTGAATATTGAAAAGTAGTTTCCTTGCAATGAGTGCAATGAGTTGTATAACACCGCACTCAGCAATATTCCAGCTATGTAACGACAGTCTGTAAATAATCGAGCCTGGACCAGACAATCCAGTGACTGACATCATGAGCATTGAGCCACACAATTGGGATACGATGACATGCATCAACCAAATCAGTGAACCTGACCACCCGACCCCGTCAGTCGCCTCTTACGACAAGCATAGTCGCATTTTACGTCAAGCATTGGTTGCTGAAATCCTATTCTAACCAGGATCTTCACGGTCGAAATTCATTGAAACAAATAATATTAAAGTGGTTCTTTCACCACTCAGCCTGTGTGAGCTGTGAGCTGTGAGCTGTTATATCAGCGCCTTCATAGACTTAAAGTTAAAAGTTTGTATCCCAGGAGGGGTTGCTAAAAACCAATTCGAACACTGCAAAATATAATCATGATAATGTGTGTATGTGTATTCAAGAGAGTTTATACATAAAAAGTTAGTACTAAACTTGACAATAATAAATATGTGCAGACCCCAAAACACAACCAGCTGAAACTTCACATGACCAGAATGACAGACAGACAGTGATAGACAAGACTATAGCAAATGGAAACAAGGCATTGCAAATATGTCACATTACCTCGGTCTCCTGTTGCAAGAAAACAAGAGGTGAATAGTTTAGATATAACAAAAACATGCAAAATAATAAGAGTTACATCACAGGTTTGTGGAACATGAGTTCACCTGGACTTTCAAAATAACATTTGAGAGGAGTAAGCATGGTAAGAAACAGGTTAGCTTTTAATGTGGACTTGCTTTTGAATATGATACAATGCAATACATGTATATAGATATATAGAATATTTATACTGGAAATGTAAGTGCCAATGTCCATATCTGGCATACATTAACTTCCAGCTTGACCTTTTATAATTTCATCATAATTTCCAAGGGGCAAGCGAGTATGTTATTTTGTGGTTCTTAGCATGTTTAGCAGTATTCCAACGATTTCAAGGCCAGGGTCACCAAGAACAGGCTTTCCATATTGTAGGGGGACCAAAAATTTCTTTAGCCCAACATGTGAGTGAGTGAGTGAGTGAGTTGGGTTTAACGCCGCTTTTAACAGTATTCCAGTTATATCACGGCGTGTCAGCTTAATGTGGGAGGAAAGCCCCAAGTGATGCAGGTCACAGACGTTTACCACTTCGGTGAAACCCACGAGCACGGGTATGGTGCTGACAAACCTAGAAACATAATCAGGGCGAACCGGGATTCGAACCCACAATCAAGGGACGCAACTCTGCACAGCAAATCGCGGCGCCTTAGACGACTGGGCCACCCGTGGCCCCCTAGCCCAACATGTCCTGCAGGCAGATAGATATTATTTTTGTACATGTTCAGCAATAATTTCACTTACCCTTTTAAAGTTTTAAAAAGTTCTCAATTTTCCCTATTTTGTCTGGCTGCTTGGTTATCTAATATGTACTTTTTAGAGTAAAAATATCATTTATACTTAACCTTACAAATAGTATTGTTTATCTCAACTCATTTCCGAAAGGTAGTGGAAACTTCCTGACTGTGTTACCTGAGAACAGGTAGGGGATGACTGAGTGGGCGCTCATAGCGCAATCTAGGGCGATGTCTGTGACGGAGCTGTTTGTGTGCAGTACCATCGTGGACGCCAACGGCCAAATTTCATGGGGATTGGAAGCTCTAGGTGGATCCAGACCAGCATTGGCGTAAGCCTGAAGAAAGATGGAACGTAACCAAAACGACAGGGTATTCTTTGAGGGCCGTCAATGTGTTTTGCAAATGGACCACATGCTTGGATCCCACGACTCTGGGCATTGGTGTGGTTGAGTAGTGTGTGCATTTCTGAGCAGGCTGAGAAACACTGATTTTCACGGCTGGCTCTCCGGTGAGTCAGAACAGACGTGGGAACCACCAACGTGGATGTCGTCTTTGAGACAACAAGCATTTGTCACAGAGTGACGAAATATCCCCCGCCATATACACCATAGTACCAAATATGAAGACAATCCAGCGATTAGTTCTTGAGATATTGTGGCAACACCGTTTTCCAACTCCAAAAACAGATTTGCCTGCTGTGACCTTGAAAATGGGGTCAAGGTCACCAAATCTGACAGGTGTATGCGGTGTCTGTATATACACTATAGTTCCAAATATGAAGACAATCCAGCGATTAGTTCTTGAGATATCGCGGCAACACCGTTTTCTAACTCCAAAAGCAGATTTGCCTGCTGTGACCTTGAAAATGGGGTCAAGGTCACCAAAACCGACTGGTGTCTGCGGTGTCTGTATATACACCATAGTTCCAAATATGAAGACAATCGAGAGGTTTAGTTCTTGAGATATCGCGGCAACACCGTTTTCCAACTCTAAAAGCAGATTTGTCTGCTGTGACCTTGAAAATGGGGTCAAGGTCACCAAAACCGACTGGTGTCTGCGGTGTCTGTATATACACCATAGTTCCAAATATGAAGACAATCCAGTGTTTAGTTCTTGAGATATCGCGGCAACACCGTTTTCCAACTCTAAAAGCAGATTTGTCTGCTGTGACCTTGAAAATGGGATCAAGGTCACCAAAACCGACTGGTGTCTGCGGAGTCTGTATATACACCATAGTTCCAAATATGAAGACAATCCAGTGTTTAGTTCTTGAGATATCGCGGCAACACCGTTTTCCAACTCTAAAAGCAGATTTGTCTGCTGTGACCTTGAAAATGGGATCAAGGTCACCAAAACCGACTGGTGTCTGCGGAGTCTGTATATACACCATAGTTCCAAATATGAAGACAATCCAGTGTTTAGTTCTTGAGATATCGCGGCAACACTGTTTTCCAACTCCAAAAGCAGATATGCCTGCTGTGACCTTGAAAATGGGATCAAGGTCACCAAAACCGACTGGTGTCTGCGGAGTCTGTATATACACCATAGTTCCAAATATGAAGACAATCCAGTGTTTAGTTCTTGAGATATCGCGGCAACAAACAGGTGGGACGTACGGACGGACGGACGGACGGACGGACGGACGGACGGACGTACGGACGGTCGTGAATACTATATCCCCCGCTTCGCGCTTTCGCGCGGCGGGGGATAACAAAATGTGAACGTGAGTTCAAAGGACTCTGTGAGTGAGTGGATCCCAGCCGGTTGATGTACATAGCGACCAAGACTTTGTCCGTTGCTATCAGGGGGCGAGTTCCCCGCAAGATTGTTCGCTACGTCTGAATGGCCAATAGAACTCCAAACAGTTGATGTGCCAATGGAGAAATGGGGTGGCCACAGTCTCAAACTGAGTTCCCCAAGATGGGGCCCCCTATCCTTCGTTCGATGCATCCACAAATAAGGGATGAGTTGGAAAGAAGTCGGTCAAAGAGACCCTATGATCAGATGCCTGCACCACATGAGGTGTGGAATAAGGAGGTGGCACCTGGAGAGGAGACGGAAGGGTAGGCAGCGCCTGGCGAAATGCTTGAAGATATGCCTGAGGACACACCTGTGTTTGAAAAGTTTGAAAAGTTCAAGAGCAAACAGAAAACAGATATAAGGGGGGAAGATCATCGTAGTACCCGCTGGAAAAGTTCAAGAGCAAACAGATATAAGGGGAGAAGACTGAGGTGGAAGGCGCTCCGCACACATCGTGGGTGTAAGAGGCGACGAACCAGAAGGGGTAACCCCTGAGGATGGACCTACCCAAGGACGTGCCTGTAGGAGGAACTGAGGTGGGAGAGATGCGAGTCACAGGCTTATGAGGGAGTGTGAAGTCGGGCACTGTAGTTGTTGGTGAGACCTTTTGCATTATTTAGCTAGACAAATGTTGAAAAGGTCGGAGGATAGGTGAGCACAATCAGAGCATCGCTGGTCCAAGGAGCAGGGGACCCGGCAATCATGAGCCGATTTCTTCCCATGGCAGTCCACCCAATCTTGAAGAGGGCGTAGAAGGTCATCGAAAAAACAAACACTTCCATTCACCACGGGTGATGAAGGAAAAAGTGATGAGTAGTACAGGAGCCAGATGGGAGCAAGGTGATCGGAGGGTATGTTCCGCTGATTATTGTTTTCACAATGTTCTACACTGTTATATATATAATCAAAGCAAGAAGGAATAGTGCATACTGTTGTGGAGGGATAAGTTAAAACATGTACTTTTGCTATAATTACTGAGAATGTGCGAGAAAACATCTTTTAGGTTCAAAAATATTTTATTGGTGAACTGAGACGATTGAAATATGTACTTGCCCGGTTTGTTAAGTTTGTTAACTTCCTTATTGCCCTGCACATGCTGCCACTCGTCAATATTTATTAGTTACAGATGTGGGCAGACAAAGTGGACACAAATAATTCAGCACTCGCATGCACGATAACAGAGATAACTACGTCTGCCAAGTATGTGTCTGATAATAATAAATGGATCGGAAATACAAGTGAATGCATATTTATTATGGATCGGAAATACATGTGAATGCATATTTATTATGGATCGGAAATACATGTGAATGCATATTTATTATGGATCGGAAATACATGTGAATGCATATTTATTATAAATCGGAAATACATGTGAATGCATATTTATTATGGATCGGAAATACATGTAAATGCATATTTATTATGGATCGGAAATACATGTGAATGCATATTTATTATGGATCGGAAATACAAGTGAATGCATATTTATTATGGATCGGAAATACAAGTGAAAGCTTAAACAACCATTGGAATAAAACAACATGACAGCAGCAGTATTGTTTCAGGTAATTGGCTAAGCAAATTCCAGTGATTGTTCATTGACAAAGGTAATTGTTCAATTACTTGTCTTCATGATCTTAACTGCAGTAAGTTTTCAAAGTTTGTTCTAAAGACACTTCACAACCACGGGTTTTATCATCATTTAATTTCTAAAATATTAATATGTAAGCCTACATCTGTGGCTCCTAAAATTTATAAGAGGCTACTTAAAGTTTGAAATGGCACCAAGAAAAATCTAAGTTGAAAAATCCAGAACAAATGGGTAAGTTATAGTAGCCATATCAACAGATAATCTGGAATGATAAATGGTAACACGCAAGTCACATTTATGGGTTATGAATGATGAATTGCCCCATATTTTAACTTGAGTGATATAGTCTTAAGCAAACTGATCTGATTTGAAATTTTATACACACCGTAAATTGTTTTACATTTCCTATATAACTCTCAACATATAAGATGCTGCAGGGCACGCTGATAGGACATTGACACTTAATCAAATAATCAAGTTGTTCATACATTTAGAGATTTGTTATTGGTACTGAAACCATGGTAACAAATGAGGAACTGTACCAAATAAAAGGTAAAGTTACATAACTGATATACAGTCCAGTATCTATGAGCAAAGTTCAACTTACATTAAAAATTAGTGAAATCTAAATATTTTTTACATTTGTATACTTATCCTGCATTACTCCTTAATGCAACTACTGCTCACCTTACGACAAAGAAGACAGCGCTTCGCGATGGTCCTGGGTGAGAAAAAAGAGTTGTTTCCATCTCACATCTACTTTGTGCAGGACCAATCCCGCTGTCATGTGACAGATCATGACGTCACAACCAATTCACATTCCTGCTTGTCACCCAAACTAACAAAAGAATTTTTCTGAAGCAATAGTGGGGAGGCAAGTCTGCAACGGGTGGGTCCTAAGGCGTTGTAATGCAGGATAAGTATACAAATGTAAAAAAATAACTAGATTTTACAAATATCTTTTACTTATCCTGCATTACTCCTTAATGCATCTGTATCAGACGGTATGGTGGTGGTTATACCTTCAGATGTCAAAAACCTCAATAATTATAAACCCTTCAAACAACAACTTGTCAAGGAAACCGAATGGCGCAAACATAGCACCTGACCGTAGGGCTGGTTCAATCTTATTTACAGAAAGAACATGAGAATTGAGGATAAGTCCAAGTAAACCAATAGTTAGATGGAAGATTAGCGTAAGCTAAACTCTTTACGTACTGTGTTACCAAGCCAAAGGTGAAAAGCTTGGAAAGTCCCCCCATCGGGCATGTCACAGTCGGGACAGGTAAGACTGGCTCCAGACAGGAAGAGTTCATAATCTGCGTCGGGGGTTGGTTACCTGCCAGGCTACTACTAGAGTGCAAAAACTATGAACGCCTTCAACGTCTTCGAGTGTCACATCGCGTAGATAATGGCTGGCGAAAACCATGTTGGTTCTCCAAAAACGTCCTTCTGTGATTGCTGTAATAGAACAGTTGCTATGTAGAGCCATGGTTCAGGCTACCGCTCTGATCTCGTGAGGATTGTTCTTTCCAGGTGGATCAAGGTTGGCGAACTTGAAGCCTGCAAGATGACTGCGTAACCATACAGATATGGTGTTGCAACTCACTTTGACCGGATGAAAACTCAGGGCACAAGAGGAACTCACCCTCATCTTCGACCCCGACAATCGTAGAGATTGGTGGAATGGTGAAGGACCAGTTGGGTTGGCCTGATAGTTTTTTCGCTATGAAATCCCAGCACAACCCGAGGTATACCGCTCCCAGCATACCATGCTCAAAACAGACACGGGTGATGTCAAGTGCATGTAACTCGCTTACCCATGCTGCAGTGGCTAAAGCCAAGAGAAATAGTTTTCTTGGTGATGTCATAAAATGAGGATGCGTTGAGGGACTCAAAGTGGGGCCTGCGCAAAGCTTGAAGTAACAAATTCCAATCCCACGCAGGGGGATGAAATTTGGCCTTCTGATCAAGCCTGAAGGAGCATAGTAGGTGGATGCTCCAGGTAGCGCTCGTTGAACAGGGAGTGATTTATGAATCATCCGCATCTTGTCCGAGTCCTTTTTGGCCACCAGAAAAATGGGAGAGTAAAAGCCTAGTGTTAACGCTGGGGATGTACAATCTCTACAGCTCTTTTTTCTTCAAAAACATGTCAATGTTGGACTTTAGTAGAAGATGTGGCTTCCTTGGAAAAAATCCAAGGTGGAGGAGCTGTGGTCAACGGTGGATCTTCCACTATGTTCATATGGTAGCCATAGTGTAGAATGTTGAGTACGAAAGCGTCCTTCAGTTCAGTTTGGCAAGGACTACAGGACTAGAGCCAATTTCTAACGCTGACTGGGAGTGGGCGCTAGCAGGCTAGCTTGGGTTGTCCAAGACTTAAGCATCGTTGCTGACGCTGGAGGTTGACTGCTGCCACATGGATTGCATGATGTTCTGCATCCAAGTATTTTCCAGGTATGGCACCATAGGCTGCACGTACATAGGTTGCGCTAACGGGTAGGTAGTTGGTTCAGCGTTAAGCGATGACCTGTGACCTGTCTATAAATGGAGAAACTTGGCGGAGAAAGAGGTGAGAAAAAACTACATTTAAAATTTGGAGTGCATACTTGAGTGCAGTCCAAGCAACATGGTTGGGGATCTTTAGAAGATTTCTTGCCATGACAATTAGTGCACCGTGTAAGCATAAGTTACGCAAAACTTGAAGTTGTAGTTGAAGTAGACTTGTACATACTGATGGTGTAATAATCGTTGTGGAGCGCACATCTAGCGTAGCTGGCATCTGGTGTACGGCAGGCGTAAACACGATATGGCAAGCGATGATAAACACAAAGTTTCCAATCGATAAAAATTTACAAGCTTTTAAAGTGTATCAAAATACAAGCGTGAAACGCTATGACGCCAAAGGCTAAAGGTATATAAATATACATGAAATGCTAATACCTAGCTGAGAATTGCAAACAATAATGACTACCTTGCACAGAGGTAAACAATGTAACGCAAATTCAAAATGGTGGAAACGAGCTAGCTGACGGGGAAAGAGACAAGGTTTTTTTTACGTGGAAAATAGCTGCATATTAACACACGTTAAAGTGAACATAATATGAAAAGGAATACATCACTCATCGCAGACGAAACTTTGTGTGGTAGCAGAAAGCTAACCACCAAATTTAGCCAAAGTTTGAGGAGCAAAACGAAGCAGAACTTCCCTGTAGGATGACGAGCAGGAATGTAAATTGGTTGTGACATCACGATCTGTCACATGACAGTGGCGATGGGTCCTGCAAAAAGCATACTTGAGATGGAAACAACACTTTTTTCTCACCCAGGACCATCGCTAAGCAGTCTTTTTTGTCGTAAGGTAGGTAGTAGGTGCATTAAGGAGTAATGCAGGATAAGTAAAACACATACAAACCATGAAGTATCTTATCAAAGATAAGAACATCAATTCAGTTCGACTCAAATTACAATTTTGCAATCAAGAAATACAAAAACTTTGATCACGTTGATACCAGAAATATATAATGATCATTATTATCAACTTGATCAATAAAGCTAAGGAACACTGGGTTATTGTGGAAGACCAATCTACTCCTGTGTGGTTATGGACTGTGAAAAGCAATAAATAACACTTGGTGTGGTCTACAAGACCCTTAATAAAGCCTCCCGTGACATTGCTACACTCACCTTGCAGACTGAGCAGCAGAATTTGGAGCCTGATGCATCCTCCCTTGTACAGATGGGATGGAACACCCTCCAGCAGTCTGTACACATCACCACCTCTCCTGGCTGGTGACACTCAAAGCAGTACCAATCATGATCATTTTCCTGAAACAGTCAATGCAGCTCTCTTTAAGATTTAAAAAGACTTGTCTTCAATAAAAATTTGATAATGAGGCAAAATAAAAAACAAAGCCTTTGTTCTTGACATGTCGTGTAAAATGCCTGACCTTGCAAAATAGTTCAGATTTGAAAAGGTTTTTTCACCATATTGACAGCATGAACTTTTTAAACATGTGAATAAGTTTACATCATGAACATATGGCCCCTAAATCAGCACATCTGTCTGCCCGTCAGTAATCGCTTAATGGTGGGATGAAAAATAACAAAATTAAACATAATAAAATCCCTACTACCAAACTTCATGTGCCTGTATTGCATTGTGCGAAACAAAGGTATTTCTAATGATGGCCTGATTTAAACAGGATAAAAGAATTCATCATATAATGGGTAGGTTTCTCTGCAGGATAAAGCCAAAGGATAAAAACGACATCTGATGGGGTCATATGCAGATAGAGATGCAAATATCAAAGGTCAAGTAGGGACTATTTTCACTGTTTACAAACATGTCATTGCCCTTGTCATTTGGCGATCGAGTCAGAATTAACCATTGCAATCTGGAGAAACTACTGGGATAATTGCAGATAAAAGAACAGACTAATGATACTGAAAATCAGTGTCTATCTGTGACGTAGCTAAGGCATTTTACAAGTTTGGGCAACTTTGGACACATAAATTGTGAAACAATTTTGCTAGGGCACTAGTCCTAGCCACGCGGGATCTGTAGCCATGTCTGTGCTTGTAGACCTCTGCGGCTTGGAACCTTTTCCACAAATCAAAAACGTTGGATTTGGCCAAGGCTTGCTAAATACAATGTTTATTCCTAATACGGGATATTTACCATCCCCAAACACACTCACGTGATAACCTCTATATCCATGAACAACTGTAAAACATCTCATTCACTTATAAACATGATAAAATACAACTTTCTCTCAAAAACAAGACATCATCTGAGTATTCAAAATGTCTGTGTGATGCTTCACTCCCTGTTACAGCGAGTAATCGAGATAAACATGGCTGTTCGAAAACATATGTCTGAAAACCTATGATCCGACGATATATTTCTGGAGAGAACAACCCTGGCTCTAGGGCAATATGTAGCAACACAATATTTGTAAGTGTCAACAGTAACATTAAAACGTTATTTCTTATCTTCAAAATGTTATAAGAAATGAACAAAAACAACTTTTAACCTCTTCTTGGTCATCATCTGTTGGAATTCTAAACCCTTCTTGTTCCAGCCCTGTTTTGGATCCTTTACAACCAACTGCTGTATACGACAGCAAGAGGCCATCTTTGACCACATAGCTGAGTTGCTGAACGGTCTCCCCATACTGCATGTCATTTTCCCTCTGCATGTAGCGAGTTAGACGGTCTATGTTGGGGATCTGTTTCTGTTGGCGAATATATGCCACAGCCGTCAGCAGCTGCTGGGAACATCGCACTGTTGATTGCCGTCTCTTCACCGTGCGGACCATGCTGAATTCGTCATTTAATGAACACAACTGCAAAATTGATATGTAATATATGTGTCAGGAAAGATTCATCTTATTATTACCATGATAACACATAAAAGTTTGTTACATAGTTTTGTTTGTTTGTTTGCCGCTTTATGCCGCACCCAGCAATATTCCAGCTAAATAATTGAGTCTGGATCAGACAATCCAGTGACTGAGATCATGAGCATTGATCATGCTGATCCACGCAATTGGAATACCATGATATGCCCCAACCAAGTCAGTGAACCTGACTACCCGATCCCGTTAGTGGCCTCTGACGACAAGCATAGTCGCCTCTTACGGCAAGCATGGCAAGCGTCTAAACCTGATCTTCTTGGGTCACTTCTATGGTAATATTTCTGAGAAAGTCACACGACCAGTTATCAATGGTTATCTGGGAGGAACAATTATCGCCAACCCCTCCCCCGCCACCCCCACCCCATTATAGAGTGCATGTGATTGCATATCTTTTTACCTTTTTTCGTTTATTTAAGAAGAGAGAAATAATTATCTGAAAATTAAGAACAAAACTGACTCTTGTTTGGAAATATTTAAAAAACGATCATATAAGCACATCGCTCAAATACAATTTTAGCTAAAGATGCGGGTGGTTTCATGTGACTAATTCACATTGATCAAAATTCTAGCACCATGATCATGCACACACAGTTCTGTCATTGGCTTCAATCTGGCTGTCACATCTTCCCAAAAATAAAATTCCAAAACATAAATTAGCAATTTTAAAAAAAATGCATAGCCGGGATATATCGTGTAATCCATAGTAAATAGTGTTATGGATCAGCATGTGCAGTTCATATTTTGGGAATATTGGCTTACATCAGTTGGCAGATGACAAATTGACAAAAGCATTTCTTATTATTAACATAATTGAGTGTGATACCAGAGATAGTAAAAAAGAAACGTAATTTGTAAAACTGAAACGGTGCATGTGATCACATGGCATGTGCTATGGCGATAATTGGTACAGTTAGTCAATGTCGTGTTATAACAGAAATCTACTCAATCGTTTTCCACGGACAGATGTAAGCGTATTTGCTTACAATTTTACAAAAATGAAAGTTATAGGCACAGTCGAACTTTATACACAGAATATAACATGATAAAAATGGTGATAACTGGATGATGGCCAGAATACTTGTGAATAATAAATTGAAAAGGAGAAGATATGTTGGGCTGTATCTGAAAGATCTCTATCTAGGCTCAGTGGCTACACTCTCTCATATTTGCCAGATTTGTAACAAGCCAAGCTACAAAATATTAAATATTTGACTGTTTCTTGAAGTTGAAGTAGTCTGCAGCGGTCTTCTTTTACCCAATCGATCAAATAGTAATACTCAAAGAGTGTTTTAACAATATAATGATTAAACGATAAAATACTGTAAAGTATCATGATATTGACAGATGTGTAACATAAATATAATGAAAAATAGTAAAAATTATGATCAGCGTTCTTCCACAAGTTTGAACTATTTATTTGGCAATTTATTCAAATCTGTGCACTTTACAGACCATAAGATGCAATGACAGTGTACAGCCTCCTTACACACAAAACGACAAAACACAAATCTAATGTCTGTGCAGATGTTTTTCAAAAAAGAACTTAACAAGCGCGCATAATAACGCCCGAACGCTTAATTATACAGATATGCATTTCCAAACAAGCACCTGCGAGCAACAGGCAAGCATTTTGACAGGTGTGTACATGCACAACAGGAGCTTAATTCAAGAACATAATAACCGCATTAATTCGTAATAAAATCGCGATTAAACAATGCTGCATCTTGCACGAAAATAACGGCCTGATTGACATACTTTTAGATTATTATTCCTGTTTTCGGAGTCCCATCCGGCATGAAAACAAGCAACATGGCCGATAACAACTACGTCAAGCACATAAACTGCAACGTCACAAATCGCCCAGTTACAAGCGCAAAGCGTGATGACGAGTTACGCATATCGTCTACATGGGAAGTCGGCCACAGAACTTATATCTGCAGTCAAAATTATTTTCAACATTGGATCGCAGAGGTAGCTGAGGTGAACAACTGGTGCAGGGAATACACAATGCCTAGAATTATCGAGTGTGTGCCGAATTTCTCGGAAGGGAGAAGCAAAGAGGTAGGAAATTCTTTTTTGATGACTAAGTCGTCAATAATCCACCCATCAAAACAAACCAAATTTAACTTTTCTATTTTCACTCCCCCATCCTGCACAAATACCTTAGGCATGCCTGCCTTGTAGTCCTATCTAAAATACATGTGATACTAGTGATAGACTTATGACTCGTTTGATTACCCAAAAATGACATTGTTAGAGGCCCCTACCGCACTGTCAACAAAATATCACTATGGTCACCGATTAGGCTATTGATCTATTCGAATTTGATCGATAAACATAATTTTGTGTTACATCACTCTTATAATTTACAGTTACCCTTTTTTTCTTGTTTTAGTTAAAAATGTCGAAACTGATTGCAACTTGGCAGTTCATGATACAACTTGTTTGCAGTTTCTAAGTTTGTCAGACTGACATATCTAATTCAGAGCTATATCTAGATAAGAAATGATAAGGTGTTGTGAATGCGGTGCATTCTACGGATATTCCAACATGCTTAATATATTCAGAGTGCACTTCCAAGAAACTGTTGCAAATATATTACTCCCTCCAAAACATACATTTTATGGTAATAAATTTACTTTTGAAAACAATAAAAACTTCCTTTTTTTCGAATAATTTATACGTATCCGGAGAAAACAGGTTTCAAACTATTAAATGATTTGTCTGCATTGTTCTTGATTTTCCATTTGCATTAACTATGTATTGTTCTTCAATTTCCAGTATCCACGGTAACCAAATTTCACTTAAGTTCATAACATGCATAATGTCTGCTAATGCTGCCAATTCACATTGGATGTGTAGTTCTGCTTGATGATGGAATTAGCTTACCATTTTCCTACTCAGATATGAGCTTAGTTGTTAATTAGCCTGAAGGCTACTAGTCATGCTAGTAGCTGCTGCTCTAATTGGACCATGTTAATTAATGGATTGTATAGACATGTGTAAGGAAACAATCCGTCTGTATAAACATACCTTTATTGTTGATTTGTGCCATCACACATTTACCATTGTGACTTTGAGGTGTCTGTGAAGTGACCTCATTATCCTGTTTTGTCACTATGCAGTGTTCCTTTTTACCGGTAATTACCATTTTTTTACTGGTAAAATTTGGCTTCGACTGGTAATTCATGGGACTGCCAGTCCCTGTGGCCCTGCAAATAAAGTCCCATTGTCTATTTTCAGTGCTTTTCTTTGAGGTTGAATATCCATTTATTTGTAGCGACTTAGTCTCAAATGAAAGTGAAATATTCCAGGGAAATAAGAGAAAATTGTGACTGAACTTTGTGTGAATGACGTGTAGATCTAACTAAGTTACTTCAGAGATGACATCATTGCATGTTAGCCATGAACATACAGTGCACTGAACATGATGTTGAAAGAATTAAAACCAGGTAATTTTCATGTTATTTTATTTTGTTCAAAGTTGGGACTTACAAAAATTGAGGGGTGACTGTTAATTTTTAGAAGCCAGCAGGAACACTTCTATGGCAGGGATGATCTGTTAAAATTTTTATCAAAGTCATGAGACATCTTAAATATCAATCAGTTGGTTTGGAGTCATCTGGTTTTGACAATGCATATTAGGCGACATTTTTTTCATTACTAGGTTTATGGATGCGCCACTCTTTCAAAGTCCAAATGTTGAAAAAAAATAATAAATAAATCACTCCTTTTTTTATTACCGCTCATCTTTACTTAAAGGGGGCAAGGGTGGCCCAGTCGTCTAAGGCACCGCGATTCACTGTGCAGAGTTGCGTCCCTTGGGCATGCCAGAAACCTATGATTGTGGGTTCGAATCCCGGTTCGTCCCGATTATGTTTCTAGGTTTGTCAGCACCATACCTGTGCTCATGGGTTTCACCGAAGTGGTAAACGTCTGAGACCTGCATCACTTCGGGCTTTCCTCCCACATTAAGCTGACACGCCGTGATATAACTGGAATACTGTTAAAAGCGGCGTTAAACCCAACCCAACTCACTCACTCAGTCTATACTTTAAAAAATGCATAAATAGTTCCCCCAAAAAAGAAAAGATTTCATTTGCTTCGAGAGTGTAAACGAAAGGGAAGTCACTCTGATATTTCTGATACTTCTCGCTGGAATCCATCAAAGCTTGTCAATGCAGTGGTGACCAGTTTAAAACACTGTTGGCCGGTACACCAGCCAAGAAGCCATGAGTAACCAGACACCGCAGCCAGGTAGACCGACCAAGTCACTTCAAAATAGTATATAATTTTATTAACCTACCTGTCGTATCATTCATTTATTAAATCTATCACATTTCGCAATGTCTGGATTCCATTTCAATTTATCATTTTTTATCAATAGATTAAAAGGTTATTCACTATTTCCCCGCAATGTTATTGAAAAACAATTTCTCTGACACACACTTCGACAACAGGTCCTCATCGAACATGTCAAACAGCAAAATAAAGACGTTTCAAGCAAATCTTTTAATATATTATACAAAGTAATAAATAAAACCACCAAAAACATATTTAAAAGTTGCCAAACTGACATCTAAGTTATTATTTCCATCTTTACGTGCGATCGCGTGTCAAATGACATCTCGGCTTTCGTCTCCTCTATTTCTTGGCTCGTACACGATGTTTAATGCCAAAATATATGCATAAGAAATCTTTCTCACAGCTCGTAACCTATCACTTTAGATCCACAAAGTTCCATATTTTTAATATAGATCGCGATTTCCTGCTTAAAAAATTCAGAATAACATGATTTAACCAAAACCTTTCATCAAAATCTTAAAATTATCATACACAAGGACCGTGCCGTACTGTTTGATTGGCTGCCTTAGGTCACATGCTTAAATTTTACCAATCACGAACCTTGTAGCAGATTTCGGCAAGAAAGCATCACTAGAAACCAAGTTTTACATGGAGGGTTACTTCCATATTATCATTATGTCGGTGAAACCATGTAAGTTATTTTATGGAGACTGACATGGCAGCCTTCGACGTACGTATTATTCATAGGAAGCTTCGAAAACGGAGGTATTTCCTCATGTTAGTGAGCAGAAAGCCACTATTATCGGGAAATGGGTGATGACAGATATTATTTGTAATTCTTTTTAAAATAATTTTCCAATCACTTAAAGCTCTGCACGCTAACGTCGAACCCATTCGACAGAGGTGTCCATCCCCGTGCATCTGATGTCGAACCCATTCGACAGGCGAATAGCATAACAACACCCCAAAATAAAACTCGCCATATCTATTTACCAAGAAGGCTTTGCGTAACATTTAAATTACGTATGACATGCATAAATCCTCAGCTTGCTCAATATCAAAACGTTCAGTCATTTATTTACCTCAAAAAGAAAATATTGCGAGTTAAAAATGTTTCGGCCAAACTTCTCGGCACACAACTACCAGAAACGGCCATTGTTGACTTTTGGCACTTCACGTTGAGCGGCATGCAGTCCGATATTTTCTTTATAATTTCATCATTTTTCCTATTCGATCATAATTTTTTGTTGCTGACGAAAGGAAAACACTCATGTTCCTTCATTTCTAAAAATTAGCAACTTTCGGTGTAACTAATTGTAAACAAAAACAATCTGAATCGTAACATCATCGATTGGATGGAACTTGTACGATCATGGCAACGGCGGTAAACAAACAACTCCACATGCATAGTTATCCCTTTAGACTATTACAATCATTTTGTTACATCTAACTTAATTTTCTAGAATTATTGACACGTATGTATAAATCTTTGTAAAAAAAAAATCGGAAAAATCATTTTTAAAGAGTTTGCAAATGATTTCGTTTGATAAACTTTCGGACACATTGACAAGCCGAAAAACGTCAGTGATACGTTTGGGCGTGGCCTAACTCGCGATTTGTTGAGTTGAACAAAGTCAACAAACACTGCGAAAAATGACAAATATTGGATGATACGCAAAATCTGAACTGATATAAATTCTAGGTAAACCATTCAATAGCAAAATAATGCATTTTACGAGAAATAATCAAAATACTTGCAATTTTAGCTATCATTTCTGAAACCGGAAGCACGTACCGCATGTGACACATGGAAGCAAAATATGCAAAAGTTGGTAAGCTATCATAAAGAAATTCCGAAATAGATTCAAATTCAAAAGAAAATACATAATTTACTATTTTTCGTCAACTCTTTACTATTTATTGATCTGGAGAGCAGTCTTTACTCCTATTTGTTTCATAGTTCTTCGTGATTGTCGCCATCAAATGTGTAAGTCTAAATCCGAAACCGTAATGGATTTCACGCTCGATGATTTTAATTTTAAAATATTTTCTAAAAACGAACGCAACGGAGAGCGATACAACGTATTGATATGCCATAATAATAACATAATATTGTTATAGATCTAACATTACAAAAAGAACAATTTAAATATTAAAGATGTTGTTGAAAACTTTCTGAGAACCTCCCGTCCTCTGAACCGATAAAAGTTTGGTACACAACGAGGTAGGCTAGTGTAAATATATATAGATTCTAGGCTCCTATATATGTGATTTTGTACCCAAAACAAATTAAATTGTACCCAAAATACTTTGTGAATTTGTACCTAAGAAAATAAGAAAATAGATCTATAATTATATTTATGTTTTCATGTAGATGAACAGAACACACAATAAAATATTTCATCAAGTTCCAAATATGATTATGACTGTGATCCTTGAAATTGATTGTTTAGTTTTGAGAGAAAATTGACGTCTTGTCACTGAAGGAGAGGCCAGTTAAGTTGGTTAAACCTAAGTTAGAATGAATTGTTTTGATAGGAAAGTGATATGTTAAGTTTAAGACACCAAATTAATGTATATCTTTGAAATAATTCTTGGTAGATCTACAAAATCACATACCCATTTGGGTAACAAATTACTAGAAATTTTGGGTACAAAAGTCACCACTACATTTCAACTGATTTTCGTGAATGAATGGGATAAAAAAATATTGTCTGAATGATTCCTTTTCTCATTTTTTAAGACAAGAATTTGTT